AGCATTGCCCAAGCATGCCCTGGAGCCTGTGGGCACTCAGGAGGGTTCCCCTTGCTGGACTAGTGGATGCAGCTAGTCTCTCCTCTTCTGGGGCCCTTTGGAACCGAGGGTGATCCCTGTTGCATTAAAATCCTGTAGTAGTCCATTCTTTGTCCCTCCAGGTTCCAGATATTGAGTAGAGCCTTAGTGCGTAAGTGTTAGGAGTAAGGTTTTCCCACCAGTCTGGTCCCACTGCCACGCCAGCCCCAAATAACACACAGAGACTCTGTATTTGATATAATGCTGTTGGCCAATATCTTGTTTCTTACCAACTAGCTCTGTCTTAAGTATTAACCCATTTCTATTAATCTAAGTATTTCCACATGGTCTCATCTTACCGAAGAGAGGGGCCGGCGTTCTGCTCTCTCCATCCTCCATCCTGACTCCTCCTCACTACTTCCTCTTTCCTCCTTGTCTCCTAGTCCCGCCTATCTTGCTTTCCTATTGGCCAACAGTGCTTTATTCATTAACCAATAAGAGAAACATATTTACAGAATGACATCTCCCATCATGTAAGTGTGGTGGGAAGGTGAAAGAAAGAAAGAAAGGATGGATGGATGAATGAATGAATGAATGTGAATGGATGGATGAGGGTGTGGTGCAATGACAAACTGCACATCCGTTCGTCCAGCAAGGGGAAACCTCCTGAGTGTCACAGGTTTCAGAGCAATGCTCACAACTTGGGCAATGCTCAGAGAATATCAGGGGTAGGGTGGAATGCTGTTCCTAGGTGCTCCACCGTGGGTCAGCTAGCAATGACAAATGCGTGCTCCTGGGGAGGCACCAGCATCATACATGGTTCACAGGCAGTGAAAACTCAGATAGGTTCCTTTGGCTCTCCGAGCCTTCGTTTCTTCCCCTGGGGAGAACACTTCTCATCAGGACTGATGGAGGGCCCTGCTGCCACCACCCGTTTATAAATGGGGGGGATGACCATCCCCAGTGCGCAGCCCTGCTGGCGGTAAGGATGGGAGGCTGTTACATGGTGGCTCCTCACTTCCCTGTACCTTGTCACCACTGGACCACTCATGTCCTAAGGACATCACTGGGTCCCCCAGAGAAGGCTCCGTTTTCTGGTCCCATGTCCCTGTTGCCACCTTTATAAAAAACGGAGTAATCCCCCTGTGTGAAGTCCAGAGACTGACTCAGTTTCTGGCTCCATCTGGAGTGGCGGACCACGCTGCCCCCTCCCTTACTCACGTCTCACCTGTAAACGGTATGTCACAAATGCATATTCAGTCTGGACATCATCCCTTCTCAGCTCCAGTCAGCCTAGGCATTCCTGCATGACCGCAGAGATTTTACCCTGTCTACCCACTGTCTGCTTTGTCCAAAAGTGTGGCACTCTTAGGGACAGGCACTTTAGCAAACTCTCGAGGGCTATGATGAATTTCTACCCATCGCCTAACAACATTTTGTCCTGAGGGGTGAAAGAAGGATTATTCCCCACAGCTCTGTCTGGTCGCTCTGTATAGGGCACGTTGAGACACAAGAACTTCATGGTAAAGCAGGAAGATGACCGAGGCCCTGCCCTTCCCCTAGCTCCCACTGTTTGTACAGTCTTAGGAATGGCAAGGACTATGGGCCAACTCAGGCCTGTCTAGAAGAATCCAGAGAGTTCAGTCAGGGTCAGGGCATCCATATTGGTGGTGGCTGCACTCAGAACTAGCCAGAACAGCCTTGCTGTGCAGTCTTTTCCCCAGAGGCTAAGTTTGAGCCTTTGGAGACAGTGATAGGTCACCAACATACTCTGCTGTCAAGGTGATTCTTCTGATGGGCAAGAAAGTTAAGGAAGTTCCATTAGGCTTTGCTTCTGCTAAAGAACCTGAGCAGAGAGAGGGTCTCAGAGTGTAGAGGGTGGTAGGCCTTCAGCCGCGGAGCAGGGTAGGCCAGCTATGACTGTGCATTGTGTCTGGGAGGCATCTTGGGCATGCCACTTTTTCCTTGTCTTCCCATTAACACAGTAGCATCTGCAGGCTCTGGTGCCAGAAGCACATTGTAAAAGCAGTTTTATGTGAGCAACTTCAATTTGGAGAGACCGGGCCTTTTTATTTTTGTTTCATGTCTCTGCCCTTCTTAGCCAGCATTCTCCTTACTTGATGATTCTTTTCCTCTTTCTTCCTCAAGAGTAGCAAGGGTCCTAGGGCATTGTGTCTGCACAGATGCATCTACTTTCAGCATAGGCATGTTGACCCTTTCGTGTGCAAGAGGATGACAGCCAGGGCTCTCTGGGGAGGGGGCAGGGATCATGCTCAGAAAAGCAGAGACAGGATCCCAAGGGAAGTAGAAGTTCAGGAACAAGGTCTTACGGATCTGGGGCAGTGTATCCCAGAAGGAGGGTGTCTCTGGAGATCCTGTGGCACCTTAAAGAGCCCAAAGGGATGCTCCTCCCTTCCGGTCACCAGGAGACTCTCCCCATCCCCCCACCTCACCCAGGGCTCTCACTTCCCCGACCATTGGAGGCTAAGTGTTGCAAGCTGTTGAGCTTGCCTGCACAGCTGTTGCCTCCACCTGATGGTGATAGCCTTGTTGGTTGTATTCTGAGTGCAAGACTCACTAAGTCCTGATCTCTTTGGCCAACAAAGGCCCCTGTAGCACAGTCCTCCTGGTTTCCTCACTCACCTGCAAGGACAGATGAGTCCATTGCTTAAGTGTCAGGGGAGGGGCTGGCGAGCTGGCTCTGCGGTTATGAGCACCTGCCCCTCTTCCAGAGGACTGGAGTTTGGTTCCTAGAATCCATGTCCACCGGCTCACAAACCACTACGAGTCTAGCTCCAGGGGATCTGGTGCCCTCTTCTGACATCCATGGGGACCTGAACACGCATGGGATACAGGTACAGATGCACACCCTCCTGGAGTCAGGGATGCCTGTTCATTTCTCCTACTTCAGCACCCAGCCTGGCGCCCAGCACACTGTGAAAGCTAAAGTTGTGCCGAGTCAACAAATGAAAGGAGTTGAGTGAATGATGTCACGGAAGCGTTCATCACCTTGCTGCAATTATCATGTACACATCACCACTGGGCGTGCGTTAGTGAGGGGAGGGACTATGCAATGCTGCTTCCTCCAAGCCCATCACAGGGCAGGGCCTGGCACACAGTAGGTGTTCGGTAAGAATGGGAGGATTCATTAGCCAGTGTGCTTTTCCGCCGTCTGAACTGCCTATCTTCAAGGCAGAAGTCCCCTGCCAGTCATCTGTGCGTTCCTGTGTGCAACAAAGGGTCGATCGGTGGAAATCTGAACTAAGTTCTGGCTCGTAGCCCTACACCTCAGATAATCCTGGAGTAACCTGGGGTGCAGAGGGATGGCATTGCGCTTCTTGCTTGGGGTAGCCAGGAGTGTTGTCACCACTAGATGGCACCAACGGCCAAGACTTGGTCCAAAGTAAGTTTTGCTTAGCCAGACACTGCCCAGTGCTTCTGTTAAGTCTGAGAAGGCCTTCTAAACCCCCCTACCCAGATGCCTGGGAGGTCTAGGCACGTACCTAGAATGAAGGCTGCCCCCCGAGATTGCTTACTTGAGATAGACTGGGGCGGGGGTCTGATGGTGTACACCAGAACTCCGCGGCCACCCCACCCCCCACTCAATACCCGGAGAGCCTCACTGCGAACACTGCATTACACTCAAGCAGAGAGACAAAGACCTAACGGGGAAGGCGCTGTCTCTGTCCCCAACAAGGCAGTCAGTCAGTCGCTCCATGCACACTGCAAGCACCTCGTGACTGAGGGTTCTGAGTGTCACAGTGGGTCATAGAGAGCAGCCCGAGGGAAGGACGCCGAGGGCGTCCTGAGGCAGGGAAAGGATGCTCTAGACTGGGCCCTGACTTAAGCCTGGAAGTGATGTGGCTTGGCTTTGAATGGAGGCTACAGGTGACACAGGCCCACTAGGGTCACCTTGCTGGCCTTCAGTGCCTTCTTTTCTTTGCATCAGTATCTGTGCACCTGTCATGTTTCAGGTCCAGACCCCGCAGGTCAGACTGACGCAGTAGTTCATCTCTGGTCCCCTTAAGTGAGAGCAATTCCTGTCCCAAGTTCCAGAGCTCCTCTCTGCCCTTTCCACAGCAACCACCGTCTTATCCTATGGTGTATAACCCCCAAAGCTTGTTTGTGTTGCATGAGTTTCAAGTACAGCACCTACTAAATGTTACCTTTAAGTGTCTAAAACATGGAGAAGGCTACACGCAAACTCAGCAAACATTTGTCGAATGGCTGGAACAGGCCAGAAATAACTACAGGGTGCAGGTGTCCCAGTCTCCTCTAGTGCAGAGCAAGAAACCCAGATGGGGTCTGGGTGGGCAGGAGACTGGATTACAGAGATTGCAAGCATCGGAAAGGTCTTGTGCTTGGATGCAGCAAGTTCCAGGCCAGTGAGAGACCCTTACTCAAAAAACAAGGTGTGCAGCGCCTTAGGCAAGCAGCTGAGAATGTCCTCTGGACTACACACACCCAAACATACACACCCACACACTCACACATCAACACAGATGCACACACATGCATACACATATCCATGCATCCATGCATGCACACATGCGCTCACACACACACACACACACACACACACACACACACACCATCTGACTCTACCAGGCACAGACAGCTCAGCAGAGTAAGAGCTTGGAGCTGCAAAAGGGAGCAATACTTGTGGGTTGTGAGCAACTCTCCAGCAGCGAAACTTATCAGCCTGTCAGCACTGCCCACATCCTGGGCTCCCTGTCCCGGAGCTCAGTGCCACACACACTGCTGGGCTATTGAGATGCCAAGGAAAGAAGGAAGCCAAGGTGGGCTAAGGTGGGTGCCAGGCTCCAGAACTTCACAGGCTGGGAACTGTTTTGACTCCTCTGAACTTTGATCGTAAGGAAGAACCATTCTAAACGCAATGAACATGGAAAGACAATCACAGCCATTCAGGCTTGGAAACCATGGACTCAACAACCCCTTCCCATCTCCCCCTTCCTCCGCAGGCCGTCTCACCAACCCCGTAACCATGACTTTCACTCCAGTGCCACCGGAGGACACAACTGCACGCCCTGAATTCTGCAAGTGGCCATGTGAATGCCCGCAGTCCCCACCTCACTGCCCACTGGGCGTGAGCCTTATCACAGATGGCTGTGAGTGCTGTAAGATATGTGCCCAGCAGCTGGGGACAACTGTACAGAGGCTGCCATCTGTGACCCACACCGGGGCCTCTACTGCGATTACAGTGGTGACCGGCCGAGGTACGCAATAGGAGTGTGTGCACGTAAGTGAGACCCTCCGTATCTTCCAACTGCCCCCGCACCGCAGCTCCAGCCCACGGACACCCACAGCCCTTCATCTGGCCAGGCTGAGCTTGGTAGGAAGCATACGCCAGACCAGTCCAGTTAGAAGCCACAGGATGAGGTCATCCTGGGGAGAGAGCAATAACGGCATTATTCTTATTCCTAAGATCTCATTGTGTCTTGCTTTCTTCCCCTACAAGAGACCTCCCCCTCTCCCCCCCGAGGAAGGAAATTCCGCCAAGAAATACTCAACCCTGGTTCCCTTCTCTCGGTAGATACAACTCTTCAACAGATGCCCAACGGCCTTTTAACACCGAATCACTGCCATACTTGAGATATTTTAATGACCCTTTAAATTAAAATGTTTAATAATATGCTTAAGACAAGCCAGTGACCGTGAAATAATGAAAACTGAAGTCACCAGTTGCCACCATTACCTTTAGCTGCTAGCCCTCTATTTTTATAGTTACCTCTACAGCAATGTCTTCTGCTAGATCTTGATTGGTTTGCTACACTGATTTTGGATCATTTATTAATTCCCCTACATGGTAGTTGTTGGCCTAGCTTCCCCCGCACTGGGAGATACCTTTGTCATCTTCCAAATGTCCTTGTTCTAATTTTCGACTACATAATAATGACTATTATTTATGTATGTTCTGACTGTGTACACGGTAACCTAAGAAGTATATATGTTTGAATTCTCCCTTTCCACGGTGCCTTCTGCTCTTTCTGGGGTTTCTAAATGACTTTGTTTTTCTTTGATTTTGGTGTGCATGGTTTCCTTGTGTCTGGAGGAAGACTGGTATTTATCCTCCATGTGCTCCAACTCCTGTCCCCTGTCCTCACCACAGTCCCTGGAGACCATGTTTCTGGACTCTGTGCCTCTCTCTGGACGCCTGTGTGTCCTTAGTCAGAAATCTCTGAGCATTGCTTGTGAAATGACATGAGCCAACATGATGATGAACGATAGCCCGACACACACGAAACATTCCTCAATATCTTATAGATACAGGAACTCTTCTCCCATTAACACTGAATCAAGGCTCCTCCATAACTGTTAGTCTGCTACCGGCTCATATACACTACAGTCCCTGGTCCCACCCAACACTTCAGATTCCCGTGCAGGTTGTTGATAAGGGAGTGTGTACACAAGTCAGTAAACCCTGTCCACGCCTCCTGTCCTGTGGCTATTTTCTTTCTTGTCTTTGTTTGTTTGTTTCATTTGTTTACATTAATGTCTCTGGCTTATCAAATAAATGCCCCTGCTTCCCCCAACTTTCCTGTTTTTCTGCTCTTGCTGGAATTTGTTGTTAATGTCACAAAACATGCTCAAAGACTGGCACCATAACTTGCACATAATTACACAATGCACCAATTAAAAAATTTGTTTCCTGAGCATCAGTCCAGGCCTGTTTAAATAAACCCTTGAGTCACCGGTGACCTCTGCTTGCTGGTGCTCAAGACTGACATTATAAATAGTCATCTACCTTTTCCCATAACCCAGAGAGACTAGGCCAGCTTCCTTGTGCTAGAATCACCCATGAGGCCAGGCATATGGGACCAGCTAATATTTCCTCTCCTGACTAACAGCTATTTTGGAAGTTCGCTGTGATTACACTAATCTCCAAACCCATAATGGGATCTTACAGGGCAGGCCTTGCCCCCTTATAAACATTGTCTCAGGGACCCAGAGATTGTCTTCCCCATCTTACTACCCCACCCTGACCAAACCTCACAGTCCCTTAGCTCCCTGCCACCAGGAACCTTGATCCTTTCCATTTGTTTGGGAAAGATAAATAAACGCCCCGACCTAAGGTAGGATTCAATACACTTTTTCATTTCCTGTGACTTCCCTGGCAATGTATGTGGATTTGCAGACACTGAAATAAACACAGTTAACCAGGAGGTACGGGGACTTGAGATGAAATGTCCCAGCCCGTTGTTAAGTGTGTAAAGGAGCCTCCACAGAGCTCTGACCTTTCCATCTCCAACACTTAACTCTTTTGTTCAGGTACATTCTTACCCTTGAGCCTCGCCACAAGCGCTCACACAGACACACATCTGGTGCATCCCCGAAAACACGCATGTAGGTGCATGCACGCACACACGCTCACTTACATGTAAACACGTGCACGCATATACACAGTTCGCTGGTGTCCCCCAATTACTTCCCCAGAAATGTGACATAATGTCAGAAACCATGAGGGCCCAAAACAAGAACCGAGACAGGTCCCGACAGGCAATGAGAAGAGAGAGCACTCAGACAGACGGTTGGCACATGGTCAGCTTAGCTCGCGGGTGACCCCCAGGTGTGGATAAACCTGTCTGGAGATTTGCAGAGAATTAGGTCAAGACGAGGCAAGTGTAAATCAGACCCAGGGAGCTCAGAAGAGATGCCAGCATGCCAGTAAACGCCAGCTTTGGCTGTCAGTGGTCACCGTCCTGGGCCACTGGGGCCAGGTGGAACAGAGTCTAGTCTTGCCTGCACCACGCTCAGCTGTCAAGAGGAATCTAGGCATGTGTGTGTGTGTGTGTGTGTGTGTGTGATGGGTCAACACTAGAACTACGTTCAAAGAAACTTTTAAACGTGTGTCCAGGCCAACCTAAACACGGCAATGGGCACGGTGTCCTCTGCGTCAGGTTCCACTATTTAGGTTGTCCAAACACCGCCCCGATGCAGCTGGAAGAAGCGCCGGGGCAAAAGGAACATGGTGTTTACAGGAGATGGGCTTGGCCTTTCAGTCCCTGTTCTCTGTCCCTTGCTGCCCCCACCTTGGGCCACACACCTGAGTATCTTCGTTAAATCCGCCTTGTGCAGGGAGGGGAGGGCAGGAGGGTGGCGACTGTGGGTTTTGCTTGCTCTCTGAAAAGTCATCTCTGCCCTGTCCACTATTATCCCTGGTAAAGGGAAGCATTCCAGGAGCACCCAGCCTCACATGGCTAAGGGAGGGAATGGAAAACTCAGCATGGCGCTTGAGGCTAGACAAGAAGAGCTGGAGTTCCATCGCTACTCCCAAGTATTCCTGGGCTGGTAGACTAGCTCCCGGACCTCTTAAACGCCACTGTCCTTGATAAGAACATTGTGATGAAGAGTGAGAACCTCTGTGGGAAGTCAGGCTGTCACATGCTTAGATACAGTAGGGACCTAGTGGAGGTCAGGGGCCGTGACACATGTGTGCCTCTGTCCACCCATCGGCCCGTGGGACATGTGACAGGACCCAAGCCTTGTTCCTACTCCAGCAAGGCCACAGATGATGCGGGCTTGAAGGTCACAGTAAAGAAGCATGGCGGCTTTTCTGCTGCAAGTCTTCTAACTGTAAGAAGGCTGCCCATGCCTCTCCTGAACTTTCAAGTGAGGTCAGAGCAAAGCTGGCTGTTCCCCCCTCACCCCAAACCAGTCCCCCGGAAAGGTAGACAGGTTGTCTGTGTCCAGAGAGGGGTCTGACCTCTGCTGATGCACCATCCTCACCTACCCTGATCTCCCTTGATCTATGTGGGGTAGGCTCATCAACGGCCCATGTGTCCCTATTAGCCGATCTACAGAGGTAGCGCTTTTGCTGCGCACTGGACACTCCAGGAAGGCCTTAAAGAATACCAAGCCTGAGGAGAGCAACACCGCAGCATCTAGGGCTGTCTCATGTTTGTAGCCTGGGTACCAGCATCTTCAAAGGTTTTTCTGTGAGTTCCTTTGAGCTGATAGAAGGATGGCTTTGCCAAGGACACCACAGCCCTGAACTGACATCTTTACCCATGGGAGCAGAGCAGAAGCTTCAGTCTCCTCTCCACCAACACACACACACACCAGACTCACACGCTCATGCACACATCACACACATGCACATGTAAACAAATACATATACAAACTAGTATGTACAAAGATGTACATTCATGTGTGTACACATGTGCACACTCACACACACACACACACACACACACATCTTCCTGGGGTTTGAGGGAGAGGCATGGTGACTGAGGCTCACGGGCCCCTTTGCATCCTGCTTCCTCCTCCTCTTCCTGAACTTCCTCTTTCCTCTCCCCTCATGTCCTTCCTTCCTGGTGTCAGGTAGAAGGAAGGGGACAGTGGGTTTAGTGTCTCTTCTCTGTCACTCTCTCCTTCTCTCCATCAACTCATGTTATCTGAGCTCACAAATCCCTCCCTCTCCCAGACCTCTCCTGTCTCTGATGAAGTAGACAAAGCTCTCCTGAAGGAGCCATCACTGGGAGACCTGAGTGAGATCATGGGCCAGAAGCCGGTGTCCATACATGCCAGCACCTGCTTCCTGGATATCCAGAAAATGATAGCAACGATAAGATGCACACGCCCCGAGCCCACAGCTCATTGGTCAGCTTGCACTCTGATGACACCTTGCTGAGACTGTTTTGCTGTATATACAATGGAAGGGACAATGTGTTTCCTTACAAAACAAATTATGCCATGGAACACACAGCAGAGTCCCTGGTTCTGACAGCATGTGCACCTGACACATGTTCTGATGCTTATGGCCAGCCACCACCCCCACCAATGCAGGAGACAGGACAGAGCTGCTGCACACTCCTAACTGCCTCTCCTCTGTGGGCATCATTGCTGTCCTAGGACCCTCTTCATATAGTTCCAGATGCTGTCCCCAGGGAGCACATAGCACCAAGGGTAGACTCTTGCCTAGCAGTCCCCTAAGCCCACAGGCAAACTTCCATAACCAAGTCCACCAGGTATATCTCATGTCTAACAAAGACTTGGAGCTAGCCTGCCCCTTCCCAGCTCCTCCAGAGAGGAAGGAAGATCTTGCTTTCTGGACCTGAGTACAGAGCGCTGGGAGTCTTCCTTGCCTCCTGGGAGTCTTTGCGACTCTCCTTGAAAATGTGTCTGGAAGCTTAACTTTCTCATTGCTTTGGTCTGGGAAGCCACCAACCTCTGCTTGGGTCGCTGGGGTGCTACCCCAGTGCCATCCCATCTTGTGGCCCTCTCCAGCCTATTGTCCACTCAGTAGTACAAGATTTTTGTGTATGTGTGAGGTATATAATCCATCTCATTCATAAGCTACTCATTGAATGCCTACTGTTCGCCAGGAAGAGTGCTAGACACTAACAGTTGTAGATCTCCCATTGAGACAGGAGGAAGATGTATCTGGCCTCACTGCCTCTCCACACCCCCTTAGCTTTCTCTCTCCCTGCTTCCCTTCCCCTCCCCCCCCACAGGCCTACTGCTCCTTCATCGGGTCCTTACACACCTACAGCAGATGTCCTCCCTACCCGGAAGACATTATCCATGCTGTCTTGTTCTAGTCTTTGTGGAAGGCAGGCAGAAAGCCCTCTTGCATCCATGGGCCTTGCAGGGCCACTCTTTCTCAGCCTACAGCCCTGCCCACATCCCACACCCACTCACTCTTCCATTGCCCCCCAACACTTACCTGAGTGAGCTGTCATCACCAACAGACGCTCCAGATGACCATTGGACCGTCTTTCTACCTTGTAGTGAGATCTTCAAGGACCAGACCGTTGTCACTTTGTCCAGCATTGGGTCTTCAGCTCCTGCCAGACTCCACAGTCAGTACTGAGGAAGACAACTTTTTCATTCCCAGGTTCTGGTGTCCTGGGTACGCCTTTCTCCCTTGGGCAGGCATTCATTCGTACCAGGCTGGGTGCTGGGGACAGTATAGAGATTAAAAATGCCTGTGCTCCTGCACTAGGGTGCTGGACCCTCACATCTGGTATCCAGCAGAGCCCCCCCTCCCCGGCTGTCCCTGATGTCATGGAAGGCCTTCACCCTTTCTCTGCTGTGTCCCTCTTCACACGGCCCACTGCTTGCCCTTGGTGTGCAGCCAACTGATATATGGGACATCTCCTCCGTCCTCACACGAGTGACGTCTTGGCCTGACATCTTACACAGAGGGAGAACAGCGCGGGAGTATCTTGGCCCACACCTTCGGACGTGACGTGTCTACCACCTGTGTTTTGCAGAGGTGGTCGGTGTGGGCTGCGTCCTGGATGGCGTGCGCTACACCAATGGCGAGTCCTTCCAGCCCAACTGCAGGTACAACTGCACGTGCATCGACGGCACGGTGGGCTGCACGCCACTGTGCTTGAGCCCCAGGCCCCCGCGCCTCTGGTGCCGACAGCCCCGGCATGTGAGGGTTCCCGGCCAGTGCTGTGAGCACTGGGTGTGTGACGATGACTCTAGACGGCCACGCCAGACTGCGCTGCTGGACACCAGAGCCTTTGGTAAGTGTGGCCAGGGACAAGTGGAGGCTCGGGATGCCACAGAGCCCCTAGACCTCTGATTTTCTTCTAATAAGTCAAGCCCCCCAGGCCACTACCCACTCCACAGCTCACAGCCTTGGAGGTGTGCTGTCTGGAACCCAAATTCCCCATCTGTAAAAGGCGAATGATATCATCTTTGCTGCCTACTTTATGGGCTGTTCCCAGGATAAAAGCCTGGTGTGACATGTATGGTCCTCTATCATCTTACTAAAGTATCTCAGAGAGTTAGGGTATAGGATGGACTTCCCAGACAACTCAGGGGGTTCCATTGCTATCATCAGGAGAAAAGATGAGGCTTTGCCTAGGTAAGCCTGTGAAGAGGAAGCTGTAGGAGAGGGGACAGGGACACGATTGTTTTCACCATTGCCTATGGAGCTCAGTGCACTTGCCAGATACCTGGAAAGTACCCAACCCATGTCTGCAGTGGTAGCTGTGTAGGTTTTTGGTTATAGGTGGCTGAAAAGACTAGTGAATAGATATGATAGATGATAAACGGGAGTGTGTGGGGGGGGGGACTGCATCATCAAGACATATGTATTTGGATAGATACACAGAGAAGAAATGTTTGGTGAATGGAAGTGAAGTGGATGAGTAGATGGATGGATGGATGGATGGATGGATGGATGGATGGATGGATGGAGAGATGGATGAATGGTCAGATGGATGATGAATGAATGGATGGCTAAGTCAGTGGAAACCTGGATCCATGCATGGAGAATAGATGGTTACAGAATGGATGGAAAATGGATGTATAGTTTAAGATGATTGATAGACAGACAGACAGATAGATATAGTTAATGGAATGAATATAATGGATGGATGGATGTATAGGTGGATGATGAATGGTTAGACGGATGGATGGATGGATGGTAGGTGGGTTGATAAAGGACACATAGATGGCGTCCAGTCAGATGATGGTGGCTAAATGCATAATTAGGCATTTGAACCAGGGCAGGGGGGGAGGAGGGGCAAAGTCACCCATGTGGAGAGACGGTGTGGCATGGATGAGAGCCAGTGGCAGCGGAGGCTTGGTCCCCGGTAGCTCAGGACAGCGTGGCAGCGCCTCCCACTAAACCTCCCTCCAGCACATCTGCTCAAGAGTCCTTGGGTGGTGGAGGGGAGGCAGAGGCTGCCTGCTCATTGTGTGTGACCCAGTGACCCAGTTCTTAGCCATCCCAGACAGAGGCCCTGCGGCGGTATGGAGGAGGCCCAGAAACCAAAGCCCTTCTACCCTCTCATCCTCCCTGGCAAATCCCTCCCTCCCCTGTAGCTTGTCTCACGCTCCCAGCCAGCTCATCCCAGACTGCCTGCCTCTGGGATCCCTCTGTCTCTGCCTGCCTTCTCTGTGTCAAATTCATTCAGCAGTAACGTTTGCTGCCAGCTCCAGGGACTGAGTGACGGGTTCTATGTTGCCCTAAGTAGATCCCTCATCTGTTTGGTGTGCTTTTCCCCCCCGCCCCCCCATTCCTTGATTTCCTTGTCTGTCTTGTTCTCTCCCCTCCCTTCCTCCCGCCGTCTCTCTCCTTTCCTCCGATTTCCTGTCCCTGTGGGTTTTCTCCGTGGGTCTGTCCCATCGTTCTGCAGGCTGTTGTCTTGCCTGCCATCTGCCTGTCTCCCTGCACAGCTCACCACTCTCTCCTGCTCACCCCTGGCTAAGCAGGTAGCCATCAGATGCTAGGGAACTGAATGTTCACAGGACCAGTCCAGAGCAGATGGGCAGTCCAATGGGACTATAGTCGGGTATCTATGCCCACTGTTTTCTACTAGGGCTCACTAAACCAGGGAGTCCCATTGCATACACAGACACTCACAAATAAAAATAAATGCAAAGATGAATCTCACTTTAATAAAAACAAGAGGACAAAAGGCAACAGGAGAACAGGGTGGCGGCTGGTCACGTGGCATCCAGTCTGGAAGCAGAGAGTGATGAAAGTTGGCGCTCACCTCATTTTCTCCTTTCCATTTGGTCTGGGAGCCCAGCCCATTCCCGTAGTTAAGGTAGACCTTCTCACTGAACTTAACCCAGTCTAGAAAGCCCTTGACAGACACGCTCAGAGGTCTGTCTCCTCGGTGAGTCTAGCTCCTGTCGGGTTGACAGTCAGTAGTGACCATCACAGAAGAGAATTTGATGTAGGGAACTCCCCGGCTCTAAAGATGGTTTCCTTCCATGATTTCATACTTCATCTCCTGGTCAGGAAAAAAGGGTAAGGATATAATCTCCCCTCCCTGCCAATTAGAAAGCACCTTTTCCTTCTCCCTGTGGGGAGGAACAGCCCAAGTCTGTCTGTCTGTCTGTCTGTCTGTTTCTGTGTCTTTGCCTCTAGTTTCATATCATCTGTTTGCCTCTGCCTCTTTCTGAGGCTCAAGAAGCCTAAACTTTGGGGCAGGGACTGGTGGAGCCCGTGGAGGCTTCAGACTCATGGATTCCCTGGTGTCCCTCTTCAGCAGCTTCAGGCACAGTGGAACAATGGCATGGGAACTGCTTAGCCTACACTAGCCCCTGGAGTCCTTGCTCAACCACCTGTGGCCTCGGAATCTCAACTCGGATCTCTAATGTCAACGCCCGGTGCTGGCCAGAGCAGGAAAGTCGCCTCTGTAACCTGCGGCCATGTGATGTGGACATCCACTCGCACATCAAGGTAAGTCCAAAGCAAGGATAGGCATCCTGGGCAGGAATAGGCATGATGAGCATCCATAGCTATAGCTGGCTTCGAGCCCGGTCACTGAACTTCTCGGGGAGTCATTCATAAGATGGAAATAACGAAGGTTGTCCTGCAGGTCTGGGGTAAGTGATTTAGCACCTCGTCTTTGGTGGACAAACATTTTTCTCCCTTCTCTTCTCCCTCTGCTGTGCCAACCCTAGGCGCCACGGGGCCCTCATGTGTGCCTTCCGATTGGAAATAGAAGCAAAATGTGAAAGAAATAGGGCCATAATCTGGGCTAAGATAATTTGTCACAAGGCTGGGCGCTTCACAGGAGGCTCGTGATTCCTCTCCTATCCCCATGATCATCTACCCCTAGCTGGCTTACCCCAACTGGAAAAGCTACATGCCCCATCCACATTGGATGTGCTCTGTCCCCAGCTCTGATGTGGTGCTGATAATATACCCGAAGAAATACTAGCTCATGGCATTTAGTAAGTACCTACCGTGTACTAGCTTCACAAACTCAATTCTGAATTTCCTGATCCTGACTCTCAGTCTGTGCTCCTATTTCGACCATCCCAATGGGCCAGGAGAATGCTGCTCAGGCTCAGAAAAGGCATCCTTCCTTGGGAGTATCCTATATCACTCACTTATATTAGAGAGATACAGAAAGAGGCCCGGGTGTGAAGGAGCCCACAGCCTCCTGGAAGGCTCTACTTGTATTTAAGTAATGTCAGTGCTGTTGAAAATGCTGCATGATAATAGTGTGTGTGGTGAGAGAGAGAGAGAGAGAGAGCCATTGGATTTGGATTAGAGGGGACAGGCAATGGTGGCCTTCCTTGCCAGCTAAGCCACTTGCTACTAGAAAGCTTGATTAGCTAAAAGATAGCAAGCCTTCCTGTGATGGCAACCCTGACATGTGGACATCAAAAAGGCAAAACTTCAGGAGAGAGAGCTTGCAGGCTGTGAGATCTGAGCGCAGCATGGAAACCCCTTCTGCAGTCCTCAGTTTACCTCTGCCGTGTGGCTAGGCCTCGCTGTGTTTGCCGAGGTCCTTCCTTGCTCGAGGGTGCTGTGAATCTGGAGCAAAGGTGATGCTTGCCATGCGCAGTGATGGGAAAGGGAGACAGGGTGCTCAGAGGGAGCAAGGTGGCTGTGCATCACCAGAGCATACTAACAGAAGATCCTTTTCCTTTCCCGAAGGCCGGGAAGAAGTGTCTGGCTGTGTTCCAGCCGGAGGGGCCCGTGAACTTTACTCTTGCGGGTTGTGTCAGCACACGCACCTACCGGCCCAAGTACTGTGGAGTCTGCGCTGACAACAGGTGCTGTATCCCTTACAAGTCCAAGACTATCAGTGTCACTTTCCAGTGTCCAGAGGGGCCGGGTTTCTCCCGTCAGGTGCTATGGATCAATGCTTGCTTCTGCAACCTGAGCTGTAGGAATCCAAACGATATCTTTGCTGACTTACAATCTTACCCTGACTTCTCAGAGATTGCCAATTAGGTAGGCATATGACTTGGGGGTAAAGCTCCATGTTTGCAGAGCAGCCGGCCCTCTGTGGCCCAGGACTTCACAGATGAGCCTTACTTCATCCCCTTTCCACTGCATTCTGAATGTCCTGATCCTGACTCTTAGTCTGTGCTCCTATTTCGACCATCCCAATGGGCCAGAAGAATGCTGCTCAGGCTCAGAAAAGGCATCCTTCCTTGGGAATATCCTATATCACTCCAAAGAAAACACATCTCAGACAGTTCAAGATGAATCCCAAGCCTGACTCAGCCTGTTTGACTTTAGCCTGCTCAAGTTGTCAGAAATCCTGATGGGGCTGCGCAAGGAATGGAATCCATTGGAAAGCCAGTATCACAGACTCCTTCTTCAGATGCCAAACGTGATGATGCTGGGGTCCTCTCAGACAGATGGATGGGACTGGGAACACAGGAATAAGCTATTCTTTGGGCCTTGCTAAATAATACTATCATGGGCATGTATGCCCACAACACACCAAAAGTGCTCTTGTTCCAAAGATCTTTGTACCACGAGGTCTCCGAACATTTTCCAGGTGAGGTGAATGGTTGTGCCATTTTTCCTCTCAACAGAAGGTCATTTCCATTAATCTGGGAATAACTGAGGATATATTTCTCTTCTTCCTGTAGTGTAAAGGCTTCAAATTGTGTTCATGTTGATTGGAAATAATATCTGAGAAATCTTATTTTTGCTTGTGACGATAACTCCCAATCCATCCTATAGAGATGGGGCAAGGCCAGCCAGTCTCACAGGCCACAATTGATCAGGTCATTGAATCCGTTGCATACCAAATTCTTAGGACAATTAGCCAAGTCTTCCTAACATCTGGACCTCTCTTGCACTGGGGCTCCTGGGAATTGGTAGGGACCTTGGGGTGTCCTGTCTGTCTGTTGTCTCAACAGCACCCCGGAATCGTGGGATGGTGAGAAGATGTCCTCATGAGCCTTGGAAGATTCCTTTGAAGTCCAGACAAGACCTAGCAGGATGTATGTGTCAAACGAATAAGTTGGTCACCCTTCGTGGGCCTGGGTGGCCTCTGGTATGAGTGGTGAGGTCACAATAGTCCCTGGGCTCCAGGATGCATGTCTTTTCTTTAGTGACCTATTTCACAGCTTTAGTCGCTGTGGAGCAAAACAGCTCAGTTCTCTAGTCTGAAGGTAGACGTTGACCAGCAGAAATCTATTTAACAGGGGTAAAAACCAAAGAGTTTATAAGTTGCAGAAAAAGATTTCTCCTAGGTGACAGTGAGGCAGTTGTTTAGCAGTAGAATGTAAGGTTTTCTGTCATCATTCTTTTATTGGGTATGTGCTATCCCTTTGTTCTCAGTATTTGCCCACATATTTTGTTCACTGAAGCTTTGTGACAACATAGAGGAGCCCCCACCATCATTTCTGTCCTTAAAACTGTGAAATGGAAGCCCAAAGAAGAAACTCAACCAAAGTCACCCATCTGGATATTCATATCCCAGATAGATTAACTTCATAATCTATATTGCCTCTCTGCTACTGGATCTTCCAAACATGTCAGGGTAGGAGAGTAAACTGAAACGGGCAACTTGTCCTTCTCTGTTTGGCCTCTTAATATTGTCTCTCTGGTTCCTTTCCTGCTAGTGGTGCATGTGTGCGTGCGTGCGTGCGTGCGTGCGTGCGTGTGTGTGTGTGTGTGTGTGTGTGTGTGTGTGTGTGTGTGTGTGTAAGTATTAAGCATCCAAACTAAATGGAACAGGAAAAGGCATGCGGATTCCCTGTGGCTCCTCCTGCCTTGAAATCAGAGTCAGCTAACGACGTGAATTTCTAAGGGATTCTGTTTGTCCAGCGCCACATGTGTGGTGGTGGAAAGATGCCTGTGAGAAAACTATGCACAGCACACAAATGGACTCTTAAGTAGGAAAGGGGACTCAGGATTTCCCCTCCTTCCTGTAAGCTCCCAAAGGCCTGGCCTTGTGCAAGATGAACAGCGGTGCTCAAGATGTACTTAAGGTGGAAAACACATTATAAATACACTCCTACTTTTCCTTAGAAGCACTCTTCTTCTAAGATCTCGTCCTGCCAGTGAAAATCCTCTATTAAAGGGGGCTTAGTGCTTTGAATAAATGTATGTCATATGTGTACAAGAGCTTGCGTGTAAAGATATGTTACCCCTGGGGATTATGACTTGTGTTAAGGTTTTTTTTTTTTGTGGATCATGCTAGATTTTCTTTGATTGGAAAACCCCGTCTTAACGTCTAACTCTGAAATAATTTCCATGGAAGCTAGGATTTCACCAAGTATCCATCCTTATTTGGGAGAACAGAAAGAAGCAAGTTTGACCAAAGGAGGCTCAGGTAGAGGAGTTGGCGTGATAGTGGGAATAGGAAGGAGGGGTGGGCCAAAGAAGCTCAGCTGTCAGTGGTCTTGAGAAATGGACCTGGCCTTCATCAGGATCTGAAGAACCCTGAACTGAAGTTCCAGGGGAGACTACAAGGATCCATATAAAAGAAGTTCTTTCCAGTAGTCAAAAACAGCCTGTAGTGGTGTGGCCTGGTTCAAGGAAAGTTAAGGATAGCAACTACAGTTAAGAAAACAAAGCAAAAGTCCACTTATCGGGTGACTTATCTGGTGCTAAGCACCACAGTGCATTTTTTCAGGTTATCAACTAGCAGAGCTGTGCTCAGTACACAACCTCTCTCCGTTTGATAAATAGAAACTCTGAAGCTCCAAGGGACTGGGGAACAGGGGACCAGATCTGTGCTTACTCCACTCTACCACCAGAGGAGACCTAGACAGAGCCTAAGTGACTGTTGCTGGAGTCTCACATAAGCTAAGCACAGTGTCCACTTCTGGGCTGACAGAGCAAGGCCTGCAGGAGTTAAGGGATTTGCTCAAGTCCTTACCAAACAGGGCATAGCAGACAAGTCTCTGAAACCCAGGCTCATGTCATGTGACTCCCCATGCCAATCTCTCAGGTCATTCAGACACCTTGCCTGTCCTCAGCCAATCCAGAGCCACAAATGGTGACTCACAGACCCCGGTGCAAAAAAAAAAAAACCTGATTTTGAGGGTGATTAGAGACTGGTCAAAGAAAGTGATTGCAAATGATATGATTGCCTGTAATTACCCTAATTAACTTTGTACTTTGCTTGCTTGGAGAATGCAGACAGCATTGGAACCACTGACTATAGTGTTGACTCCTGTCATTTCTTTTTAGAGACTTGTTTTTGATTCAAAGGAGCCAAGGTGACAGGTCTAAATGGCTGGGAAGCAGAAATGGCCATGGTTAGCTGTGTGTTCCTGCATAGAGGTGTGTGTGTGTGTGTGTGTGTGTGTGTGTGTGTGTGTGTGTGTATTTTCAAACTGTGATTGAGTATTTAAATATTCATACTGCCATTTTGTAAGTGAATACACATAAAGGAATGTCTTCGGATTTCCCAACAGAGGAAAAATAGCCCTTGGGCAGCCTGTCACGTTCTACCACATTCCTCATTTTTCTCATGATTTGTGTAGTAGGGAAAGTGTTTGTTCGCCCGAGATGGGTTTTCATTGTTCAAATTCTTTGTTTACAGCTTTTCTTGTTAAAGCAATAAATCATCAGCAAAAGCGACTTCTTTGATTTGTGGGGTTTTGGTTTTTGTTGTTTTTCCTTGTAATTTCTGCTGTTGGGAGGCAATGAAAGACAACTGGGCATGTTCAGCCAACGTGCAGGCTGGGGAAATTAAGTTCCAGATATTGGATAAGAGAGAGCAAAAAAATAGCTTAAATGCTTGAAGATGAGCCTGGAAACACAGATTCTGAAACTAAGAGAATGACAGTGTTGTGAGACGCTGTTCCTGAAGAGACCTGAGCAGACACCTACTCATCCTAGGTAGGGAGCCCAGGCTAGACCAACGGGAGAGCGCCGAAGTCTGACTTGGTGAACCCTCTGCTTTTTATGGGAGCTACTCACAGGAGTCCAGATGGGAGGTGACCACTGGAGTGTGTATAATTCAAGGGCTTCTGCATCACAGAAAATGTACCCAGCACAGGAAGCTGGAATTTTCCAGCTCACTGTATGACTTAAAGGCAGCTCGACAGGGCAGAGCGTCTCTCTTGGGCAACTCAGCCTATCTGCCCTTAAACAGCCCTGCTGACCCATCTGTGTTAGGTAGTTAACTGGCCTTTGCTTAGTAGTTCTTCCTGTTTTCATAGCTTTGAGGGTGGGGGCTTGTGTTTCTGGTCAGTTTTAGGGACTTTTTGAGTATCCTGAGTTGTTTACCTCTTGACTCTTGGCATCCCCTCCCCCCTCCCTTAAGAACAAGCCTGTCTTTCAAATTTTTTGAGGCTTAATAAATCCATCTTACAACTTCTCAGGTCTTAACCAGCTTTGAGCCTTGAAGAAAATTGATGCACAAGAACCAGAGTTGCCAGTGTACCCAAGCTTAAGGATAAACAGGAAGGGGATCTCTAGCTTTCACTCCTTCATTCACATTCTTACTCATTCATTTAGTATTTTGGGTACCTTGAAGTTAGGGCCGTGACTACATAGCATCTTGCCTGGAGTATGTCAGGGGTGAGATGACAGAGTATCTATAGCATACTGTCCTCAAAGCCAAAAGGAGCATAGAGAAACATAAAGCTGGCTGCAAGTTTTCATGGAAACACCCTGCCGTTAGTGCCCAGCTGTGTCTTAAAACACTATACTCCTTCCTCTCTGGGATGCCTCAGTTCAGTCTCCCCAACTTGGAGATTCACAAAATGATGACACCTACCTCTTGATAAGAGTGCATCTTGCATGCTCCATTTTTAAATGGAGGGCTAGTATAAAAGTATGATGTTTACCTTGAGGCCTGAGGAACCTAGGTTTGAATCCCCCAGAACCCACATTAGAAACAAAGAGCTAGTGACAGGTGCTTGGGAAACAGAGACAGGTGGATCCCTGGGATTCCCCGGGTAGCAGGCCAACTTGAATCAACAAAGGCCAAGCTAATGAAATACTGCCTGGATAAACAAGGTGGGTGACAACTGGGGTTGACATTTGGCCTTGACATGCACTCACACCTGAGCATGGCAGCAGCCAGGTGCACCCACATAAGCACTAGCCGAGCTGTTTCTCTACAGACGGGGTGGTTATGGCAAGACTAAACGTAAGTGTATGCATCTATATATTTAAGGTAGCCCTTATTTAAGGTAGTAAACGTGAAGTGCCATCATCATTTAGATGCACCCCTTCACTTTAATCATTGGCTGCTTAATCACTGAGTATTTTCCGCTGGTGTGTTTTTGTTTTGGGTTGTGACTTGATTTACAGCCCAGCTTCTCTAAGGCAGGAGGAGCATGTTGGTCCTCTCCACACGGTGTGTTATGCTTAGCCATCTGAGCAGCTGCTGATTGCTATGATGGGTCTCTGATTCCTTCTAGTCAACTTCTCCCAGAGCAAGTGGTATCACAATACAAAACAAGGGGAGACTCAGTTCCAGCTTAGAAAAGCCACACGACTTGTTTCCATTAACACCTCCATACGCAAGCAGTTTTTCTTCTTCTCAGGAGGACGCTGTAGCCTATCACAGAGATACTGCCACGTCCATACTCACTGCAGCTCTGTTTGCAACAGCCAGGGGATGTAAACAGCCTAGAAATCCGTACGGAAATGAATGGGAAGGGGAAACAAGGACATATGAACGCACAGTAGAGTGTTAACCATCCACGAAGAAAAATGGAACGCTGAGACTTGCTGGGTAATGGGTAACAGAAAAATATTATAGTGACTGAGCCTCAGACAGACAAATGCTGTGTATTCTCTCTCCTGCACGGGTCCAGCTTCTGAGTTTTAATATGTGCACTTATGTGGGAATTGAGTGTGTATAGATGGATTCCAGAAAACCAAAAAGAGGCCCATTACAGGGGGAAATGGCTTTAATGGAGAGAATTGGGGGAGGTAATAGACACACATAGCACGAAAGCGGAAAGCAGAATCGTGGAGGAGGAAGAGGAGAAGGGGAGAAGGGGTAGGGAGATTGTGGAGAGGGAGGGTGTGGGAGAGAACAGGTGAAAGCAGGTACACAAGAAAGTGCTCTTCTAAAACAAGATGCAAAGTAAAGTTTAAAACCGTTTGGAAGTTGGGGCCTGGAGTCCTGTGGGTGCCTCAGATTCAGGGGAATGAGTGGCCCTGTCCCCTGGACTGCTGTCCCAAGAGGACTGCTTATGTGTATAGTATTGAGGCCAACCTGAGCAACAGGGAAGGACTAGCTAAAAAAACAAAAATCTATCTTAAATCTGTCATCTATTTCTAGATATCATCTACCTACCAATTACCTACAATCTATTATCTATCACCTATCTATCATCTATCATAAATCTGTCATCTATCTCTAGGTATCCTCTATCTACCAATTATCTATCATCTGTCTATCATTCTATTATTTATCATCTATTTACCTATCTATCACTCATCTCTCATCTATCTATATGTCTACTTATCTTCTATCTATCACCAGCATCCACCTACCTATCCCCACCTTATTTAGTCACATCTTATTTAGAAACCCATGTCCCTCTGAATTGGGGCTCTTTCTCTCACAGAACTGCTCAGATCAGACATGGATTTTAAGGAGATGCGGGCACAGTCTGCTCACTGGTACTCTCTGTATAGCACGCCTCAGGCTCTTCACTCTGAGCCTCATTTCTCTGGCTTTTATACGGTACAAAAAAAATTGTGGATTTCTTGATCCATTTCAGTAAAAGGAGCAAGAGCTGCTGTAAGCAGCCTCACTGATAATATTTTTAAATGCCGGCAGAGGAAAGGGAGAGAAACTCGAAACCACATCAAAGCTATTGTGTCTTGCAAGTCTGAATGTGACCATCTGATGGATGGACAAAGGCACTTAGGGCCAGTGAAACTTTTCAGGCTCCTGGTATTGACTCACAGCTAACCGATGTTCCACCATCCTAGACTTTGAAAGGCGAGGACCTGAGCCAGCTCTGTGCTCAGGATTTATAGGCAGGGAGACGATAATCCACCGGAATGGCCGCTGGAGCCATCAGTCTCTTAGTTTGGGGAACTACTCTTTTGGGGGGAGTGGAGACACTCCTGGAGCCAGTCTACCCAAATTGGTGAGTTCTAAGATCTGTGAAAGACCCTGCCTCAAACACTAAGGTGGGGAGCAACGGAGGGAAGACATCTGACATTGATCTCTGGCCTCGAAGCACACCACGCCTGTACACACACAAATACACACCAAATAAATAAATACAAATTCTTTGTAAGAGGAAGTCGGTAGTTTGTGAGTGGAAAAGTAACACACAGTATGCAGCCGCATACGCCATGTCTGCAAGTCTCTTTGCTTACTAGGAATGCTGGGCGTGCAGGAATTGCTTCTCAGAGCAAGGATGAGCGACAGTGGGTTTTGAACCCACGGATTGACTGTCAGGAGATGATGTCACTATCAATTCATCAACTTAGCTACACTGAGTCCTTGGAGCTTGTCTCAGTTGCTTTTCTACTGCTGTGATAAAACACCCATGACCAAGGCAACTTGTAAAGGAAAGCACTTAATTTGAGGGTTACAGTTTCAGAGGCTTGGAGTCCATGACCACAATGGTGGGGAGCAGGCAGGCAGGAGCTGAGACCTCACATCCAGACCTACATCCGCAAGCACAGAGAGAGAGAGAGAGAGAGAGAGAGAGAGAGAGAGAGAGAGAGAACACATAAGCCAAGTACTCCACCATAGCACAGTGGTTAAGAACACTGTTCCTCCAGAGAATTCAGTTCAACTTGAAGGGCCCACGTGGTGGCTCACGCCGTCTGTAACTCCAGGTCCTGGGATCCCACACCCTCTTCTGGCCTCCACAAGCACCAAGCCTGCATGTAGGCAAACATGTACACACATAAAACACTTTTCTAGAAAGCCAGGCATGGTAGTGCATGCTTGCAATCCCAGTGCTGGGGAAGTAGAGACAGGATGATCGCTGGGACACTCTAGCCCGTCAGCCAAGCCTACTTGATGAACTCCAGGTCAAGAGGTCCCATGGCAGCACAGATACTGTCCTCTAGACTCCAAGAGCCCTGCACCTACCTGCACAACCAGGGGCCACCCTGCCGCGGAGAAAAACCCCATGCAGACCTCAAGCCAGTGCCCTTCACGCAGCACTTCGTGCTGAAGCAGGAGAGACCTGCAAAATGGTCACAGACAACAATAAACTAAGACAGAAGTCCTGTCGTGAGGCATCCTGGGATACAGAGGGGACATCGAGAGAGAGCTGGTGCCTCCCTTCTCCGGTAAAAAGGTGGAGCTCTAGTGTTGGCTTTTTAGGGACAGGCCCCCCCCCCCGGGGCCTGTGAGGAGTCTTTGAAGTGATTTGCAGTGGTTAGGATACACATTGAAATGGACCCCCTCAAAAAAACAAAACCAAAAAAGCCTCACGCACTGTAGACTTAGTCCTCTGCAAACACTCAGAAACACAACTGCATTATGCGGGTACTGATACTAATCCATCAGTGGATTCAGAACCAAATGGATTCTCCCTTAGGGAGGCGGTGAGCCATAGTAAGTGGGGCCTGATTAGAAAAAAATACTGGTTTTCATGTTATGTCCTTTCTGAATATTTATTGTCCCAGCTTCTTGCTCTTTGCCTCTTGGCTGTCTTTACGTGACAGCTTCCTCTTATACAGTCCTGCTACCACGGTTTCTGAACCATTGGGCCACTGCGATAGCGCTAGTCAACCAGACTGAACTGTGGGCTGAGATAAACCCTCCGTGTGTTTACATCGGGGATTCTGTCATGGCCACAGGAAACTGGCTGAAACCAACTGCAGGTGTCCTGTGGGTTTTAAGAGAATTACAAAACGCTTGATAAAACGAGGAACTATGCTAAACCCCGTTAACAACTGTCCCTTTTAGCAAGCAAGCTGAGTCTCTACTCTTACCCAGCAAGCACTTCACCCAGCAGGCCACCTCCCCAGCTTGGTGCTGCCATGTGATGGAGAGGTATGACTGGCTCTGTGGCCAGGTCAGCTTACAGGGTGAGCTCTAGGTTCAGTGACAGACTATCTCAAAGCCCGTAAGATGAGAGCAAAACAGTAAGACTCCCGACGTCAGCCCCTAGCCACTGCATGTACGCATAAATGAAACACACCTACAGCACACACACACAAAGCAAACACCTCCCGTGGGACGGACCAGTTGTCTTTTACCCAAATGCTTCCCTCTCCTTCTGGGTTGGAAAGTGTTCTCTCCATCACCGTGCTGACCTGCTGCTGGATGCCTAGCTAGCGTGTGGCGAGGCTGGCTGCAATGTGCTCTTTAGTACAAAGAAAGGTGTGTGTGGCATATTGCATAGAAATGGCGATAGTCTAGACACATTGGGTTAAAGGGGGAGCAAGGTTTAATTTGCCTTCACCTGATTCCTCTTTCTTCGGTATTACTACGTGACAGCTTAGGGAACTATGTGCCATTTGTACTGGCCAGTACCAATCTGTGGCAAAGAACTCCAACAGTAAGGGGGACACAACAGGGGCTCTGGGGTAAATCTCCACCCCTATGTCACACACACCCTCCCAGGGGAAGGAAAAGGCACATGCCACTGCAAAGTTACAAATTTATTGGTCTGGAAATAAATACAAACATCTCATTAAGAAACTGCCCTGGAAATACGTGTACAATGGTTTCTTGTCCACATTCAGGCACCCTGGTCCCTGATATTTCTACAGAAGGTTGGAGGAAGCCTCCGTAGTAGGAGTTGGTGGTTAAACCGAGTCCTTGCCGCTCTATAGGGCGTGGCTGCCCTCCTCTAGCAACTCCCAGGCCTTAATGACTGCCCTCCCCACCCCCTCAAATAGTCAGGTGTCTCTGATCTGATCACATTTCCTATAGGGAAGTTCAAGGTTAGTCACTCTGAGAATCAAAGGGCAATAGTACAGGGCGCGGCCATTAGCTGGCATCGATGCTTACTAACCCAGTCAGCAGGAGGGGCAGGAAGAGGGGGCAAAAGGGGAGGAAGCGAGTTCCCGTGGAATGTACAGATTCTGGAACCACCTCCTCAGCCCATCCCCGACCAGAGCACATGGTTCTCTCTGAAGAGCCAGGGTTGGGCCAGCTGAAAGACATTTAGCTATCAAGTTTAAAACCAACCCCAGATGTCAGTCAATAATGGGAGACAAGGTATGACTCAATCACCCAAGATTCCAGGCCACAGGCTAGGAGTTTGCTGAAATCACACCCACGGGATTCTAGTCACCCAATCCCATGCCTTCTCCATCGCCAACCATCCCCAGCCTAGAGACTCTTACTAACAAGGACCACTGCCACCTGCTGAGCTCTCTGTCTCAAAGAATACGACTACAAATCAAAACTATCTTCCCCCGGGGACAAAGGTATCACCCACCCACTCATTCACACTGTGGGATGGGGGCCAGGGAGCCAGGACTTCTGCAAAGCAAAGTCTTACATCACCGTGACACCCAGTGTTTGTGGGGTCACTGTCTTTATAAAGCCAGGAGTTTGTTGTCAGACTCCCTTGCATGTTGAAAAGGTTGGCAGGAAAAACGGGCTGTGGCTTCCGGCACCCAGAACTTTAAAACGAGTTCCTTCCAGTGAGCTGTGTGCGGACTTGGACCCTGACTCTTTTTCCTTCTTAACATAAGGCGCCCAACTACTTCCTTCCCTGCCTCGCTCCCCTTTCAAATCAGAAATAAGTTTGTTTCCAGGAATGGGTTTAGTGGGGAGGAAACAGGAAGCCGGGGGGCTGGCAAAACGCCGGAGAACCAGGATGCTGGATCGCCCCGGGCTTGGAGCCAGGCAGTGTTACAGCTATATGTTTCTTAGGTTTTGGCAGTTTGGCGTCTGAGGGTAGAGAGAGAAGGGCCACCAGACCACTTGTTAGCAGAACAGAACGCTGAACTGCTTCTTGCCTTTGTCCACCATCACCGCCCACGCTGGTCCCAGGAGGCAGCCAGCCTGAACAGCTTGGGTCTGCCACCGTCAGAGTTCATTCTTAACAAAAGCAGTTTTAGATTAATACCGCATTAGTGCAGGGTGGCAGGCAGGGGTTGGGGGCTAAGGGAGAGGTCACCAGTCCAGGATGACTGATGCACAGACTGCCTAGCAGGACACCTCCATGGACTTAGGCCCGGCATTGTTCCCGGTGGCACCAGAGCTGGGGGTGATGTTGAGACGGGCATCCTCACTGGTGTGGGAGCGGCTGCGGGACCCCTCGCTGGTGTGCGAGCGGCTGCGGGGGCCCTCGCTGGTGTGGGAGCGGCTGCGGGGGCCCTCCAGGGATGTGACACTGGAGCCAGAGGCTGTGCGGGAACGCATCAGGCGAGTCATGCTGGCAGAGGGCACTGGGAACACAGAAGAAAATGTGGTTAGGATATGGGGAGCCTCCACGGGGTAGGACAATTGCCCTGTCTTAGTCATGATGTCCTCCCTTAACTATTGTCCTGGGACCATCCACCTTCTGTGCCTTGATGTGAGAAAGGCTTACATGACCACACGGCCAGTGGATTCCCCTCCTTAAAGAGTAAGTGTTGCTGCTACTTTCCTTTTTCCTTTCCTTTTTTTCTTTCTCCCCCTCCCTACCTCCCACCCTTTCTGGTCTTTCGAGTAAGGCTCCATTAAGCCCAGGCTGGCCTCCAACTCTGTGGTTGAGATAACCTTGAACACATGAGCCTTCTGCCTCTGCATCCCAAATGCTGAGACAGTGTGGCTGTGCTACCATGTAACTAAGAGCCTACTTTTAATTCAGAAAGAACTGGCGTCAGTGCACATCTGTGGCTCATGTGTGTTTTACCCCCGAGTCTCTATTTCTCCACCCAAATCCGTGAGTCCTGATGACCTCACCAGGAAACGGCAACTTCCCATGACACCAGACACACACAATGGACTAGTCCAGTCAACCCAGCATCACAGGCAGACACTCTTGAGCTGGAACCGCCCCTTTGGCCATGCCTTTGGATTTGTGATTCTTCCTCTTATTTCTCCAAGGTCTAAGGGAAGCTTTGTCAGACTGAATTGGGGACAGAAGTGAGGCGAATTTGGGGGACAACCAAGGGCCTAGCTTTTGCTTCTTTTCCTTCCAGAATACACAGAAAACTGGCTGGGATTCACCCCCAGCAAGGGAAACAAACTGGACTGCCCAGCAATTAATTCTCTCCTGTTTCCACCAGGGAAAGCAGGCTGGAGGGAGGGAGGTCTACAGGCAAATGTGTTCTGTTGTTGACAGACAGCTAGCCACAGGGACCTTGTCGGGGGGCACTCATATCAGGCTCCCTCCTCTGTCTTGCTGGGATGCAGGTGTGGGTGAAGGCAAATTAGTGCTTCGCCGAATAGGCCCATCCGTTTCTTTCTAAACGGGTGGATGGTGCAGGCAAGGAACACAAGGCTAGACTTTTCCAGCTAAGGAGGATGCATGGATGGTTTTAACCCCAAGCAGAAGGCAGGAAGAACTGAGTGGACTGCTTTGAGCCAGAGCCACAACCAACAAGTCAGTCAACCAGTGTCAATCAAGGCTACTGCCCTAGCCGAACCTGTGAGCCCCGGTCACAGCTTAACATTTCTGGGAAAAGACTACTGAGTGACAAACCCACTCTAAGCCTGGAGCAGGAAGAACCGACGTTCTGAAGCAGGCTGCTCTGTCCTTTAAGTCCCCAACTTAATGATCAAGCAAAGAAGCATTCTGCCTTTGGTCTCACGCACTTTGCTCTCCCTCCTACATGGAGCTCTGGCTTCACCAGCTTTCCACAGATTACCCCTGTGGCCTTCCCTGGTAGGATTATTTGTGATGGCTAAAGGAGGAGACAAAATAGACTAACCTTTCTTCCCCTCCTTTGCTACAGCTCTGGTCTCTTAAGCAAAACTAGGGGCATTCCTTGTTCAGCTGTGGGTCATTGATTTGTTTTTGAGGGGGGGGAAGGGAAACTGTTTAAAGGGACAGTCCTAGCCTAGTATACTCCTGCCCTGTAATCCTTGGGAAACTTGGGAAACTGAGGAGGATTATTACGAATGCAAGGACCAGCCTGACCAAGAGGAATATTCTGTCTCACTACGGTCCCAAATAATACTCTTTAAATGGTTCTCATGGAAAGCTAAATAAATGTCGGATCCTCTGTTCATGTATACTTAAAGGCATCTCATTTAACAGGCTGAACACATGATGTGGTCTTCTAAGATCACACGGCTCTCAAGAGATGCCATCACCCTCTAGTTTGTGTCAACATGCTGGAGGATGTGTGCCTTGTGATAAGCAAGTCTGTTACTGATTCATTTCTCATTCAGCCATGCCTGGTTGTGATTACTCCTTTCTCAGACTTCCCTAATGTTTAAGAGCTGAAGCCAACCAAGATGACAGAGCCCTCCTCCTGCCCCTCGCTGGCTGTGACATTAACATTCCCACATGTGCCTGGTGCGTGCCCAAGGTGTGATACTCACTGTATCCCATGCCCTGCACAAAGTACTTGAAGGCCTCAGCAAGCTTGGCAGGCTGTAGGAGAGAGAGAGAATATGAGGTCAATGGCTGGAGGTCCAGATCACCAAGGGCCACATGTACATGCAAGCCAGAGCTATGCCCAGGATGGAGCTACCATGTATGGACAGGGAGAGCATAGAAGCTAAGCAAGAACCAAGGGATGGCTGTGCAGACCAGAGTCAGCCTTGACCAAGGACAAACGTCTCCCAACCTGCCTTGATGGGGTATGTCCTTCTGTATATACGTTTCCCTTATTGGTTGATGAATGAAACACTGTTTGGCCAATAGCCAGTAGAGGCAGGAAGATAGGCAGGGCTAGGAGATGAGAATTCTTGGAAAGGTAGGCAGGGAGAACCTGCCAGAGAAGTTTCCATGTGGAGACCAGGAGGATAGGCATTCTCTGGTAAGATAAGGCCATGTAGAAATACATACATTTATAGACATGGGTTCATAATTAAGACAAAGCTAACCATCGGCCAACAGTTTTATAGTTAATACAGCGTCCGTGTGTTTATTTGTGGCCAAGAAGGATGGCAGGACCTGCCGAGCGGCTGGAAAAGCATGGATAAGTTACAGCCCTTTCTGAGTCACTATCTTCAACTGCATGCAGGGCCAAGTCACACTCTGTGCTCAAAGCCTACTGTCATGAGCCACATGGTCTGCTAGGGATGCTGCAGAACTATCTCCAGGAAACCTGACACCAGCTGGCCAGGGCCAGCACTCCTGGGTGCATATGACAGATGATGGAGGGGAACCTGTCTACCTAAAGACCAGAACTAGTAAGTGAGGGTCACGTGATGGAGCCAGTTCCTCCATGCCAGAAACTCTGCGCTTGACGTGGCTGACATGGATCAGGTTGACGGTAAGCTGGCTGGGTTAGTAGAAAGGGCAATGACGGGAAAATGTTAGTGGAAAGAAAGAGCAGAAAGAAAGGAGGGAGGGTGGAGAAATAAAGGGAAGGGTGAAAGGGTAGAGAGGTGGAGGGAAGGGCAAAGGCACACATGCACAGTTCTCGTGTGTGTGCATGCATACACACACATGTACATGTACATATACATACACACACAAGAGCATGCATACACACACATGTACATACACACACACACACACACACACACATACAGGAATATGCATATACACACATTCTGGTGCTATAGCCTCTCCGTCCCTCTGTTGTTCTGGGCTTACATAATCCTGCCCCTGGCTAGGGCAGGATTAACCACGATTCTGGCCCCATGGCCATGCCAGGCCCATCTGGCAAATCTCTTAAGCCTGTGGACCTCAGGGTCTCCCAATCCCCAGAAGCTGCTTGATAGGGATCTCGTGAATCCACAACATTCAGGAAGCACATTTTATGAAGAAGATACGCATAGCCTACCATCAGATTTCACATAGGCGGGTTGGGGGGAAGGGAGCACTCAGGCCACAAAGACACACGCACTCCACCAGTGGGAAGTGACAGGTGTTGAATGCCAGTTTCACTCACCTGAGAGATCTGAGGGAGGCCACCGCAGTCTGCCATCTAGAAGGGAGGGAAGGCTAGTTAGCACCAAACACCTAGGCCATAGCCCTGGTGGCAATCTGGTCTCGGCCCAGGATCACCCACCTGACACTGCTCTGAGCGGGTTGATTATGGTGGGGGTAATGCTGTTGACTGTACCCCCCCCTTATCCTCCTTGGCAACTACAACTCAAAGCTCACCCACAGCAACAAGCCCACTCAGACCACTCCATTTAACCCCTAAAAGCATACAGGGCTCAACGGTGCTTTCAAGAGCCGCGACTTCAGGGTTTACCCCGTGGGGGGAGCCTCAGGAGGAAGTCCGAGGCTTTGGCACATCCCAGACACAGCTGCTACACATGGGTGCCTTTGCCTGTGTGTGCCCTGATTGCATGCCGTGGGGTTCTGAAGACCTCTAACACAAGGTAGCAACCACAGCCCCTCACTACACACCAGGGGATCTGCCCCACCCTGAGAAAAAAAGACTGTTGTCCTCTCTTTCCAGTCTGTCTCTCCCTAGCTGCATGGGCAGAAGTGTGCAGACCCCTGCAGTCTAGTCCCCAGAATGGACCACTCTGCTTTGCTTTACAGCCTCAGATCAGCTCCAAGCTTGCTTGCTTATTAACTAACTCCCCAGCTCCATGTCCTCTTTCCTTTCTCCATTTCAGACACAGGGTCTCTAAGCCTGGTCTGGGCTGGCCTAGAACACGCTGTGTAGCCTAGGAGAGCCTCAAACTTGAAGGTCTCCTGCCTCTGGAGTGCTAGGGTGTGCATGACACCCAACACCAAATGCTTGCTTTTATGGCTCTAACAACAGTTCTGTGCTTCAGCAAGCTTAGCTCATGTGGGGGCCTCTAACCACACCCCACTCCTGCTCATACCTTCAGCAGGGTGGTCTTTGTAGGGTCCAACTTGGAGTTGCATTCCACCTGCACAAGGGGAAAGACTAGGTAAGTACTCAGCCCAAGTCCGGAGATCCCTGTTCTCCCCACTGTCGGAAACAGCAGCATTTCTTCGGAAGCTGAGCTTTGGATTGTTAAACACACGCGGCTTTGGAGCCTGGCCCCGCCACGTCTGCGGCCTGGAGACAAGGCAGGGTACAACCAGCTCTGTGGAGAACTGCAGAGGCAGAGCAAGACAGTCTGGACTCTGAGCAACAGCCTCATGTCACACATCTCCCTCTCAGCGCCTCCCTAGAGGGTAAACGGAGGCAGAAAGCTCTGCCTGACCCAGCTGCCTGCACTGCCCTTCTGACAAGCAGAAAGAAAGACCCACCTGCTGCAGAGACGCCAAGAACCCCTAGCCCTAAAAACCTAACCTTTGTCCCTCCACATAGATTTGTGCCCATGGGCAGCAAGAGGGAGGGAAGGCAGATGGCTAGGCAGCCAGGACCAGTGACCACAGCGAGAAGCTGGCCTGAACTCTGCCCCAAGGCTGGCGTGGCATTACACAATGTCCTTGCAATGGGAGAGGGAAAAGCAGGGAGCCTCATACAGGTGAGTACCTGTGGCTGAGCTGATACATACCACAGCATCCACTGCAGGAGAGTTGTCCCGACCACCAGCAGAGCGGGGCACCTGCACAGGACAGGGGAAGGGGGGTGAGCCCAGGGTTCACCGCCAGCCTCTGCAAGGCAGCGGCAGCAGGATTCTAAAAGCTGTCTACGTGTCCACCACCCTTTGCATCTCTATGCCCCTAGGCTTTGGACTTTGAATAAAATGGGCTAGCAGTTACTTATACCTCCACGTAAAATTGTAGCCCAATGATTGCTGTGTCTTAGTGTAGCACCCTCTGCCTGGGGAAGGAGGGACAGAAATTTTCCAGGAATTAAGATGGCCCCCCCCCAAAAAAAGGTCTGGCATAAAAGACAAAGAAAATGGCGTATGCCAGGTTCACAAGTGCACGCAGCGAACCATAAGAGGGCACCGTCACTGCCAGTGGAATGTGTTAGTGGCAACCATTAACTATTAGCTATACAAGACTCTCTCATGTCTAGGCTTTGGGAGGCACAGCCTAACTACCTTTAGCCATTGGTGTTGAACATGCCTAACAGGCAATCAGCTTCCTGTTTCAATGGCCCCAGTTATGATCACATACTTCCTGACCCGATGTTGCCTCCTGCTACCAAGGAGAAGTTCAAGTCAGATGCCTTGGGTAAGACATAGCCAGCTCTCTCTACCAAAGTGTTCCACCCTAAGGTGGCATTTCTGACGCCCAGCAGAAGCCTGCAGCAGCCGCCCTGAGTGAAGCATGCAGGGGAAGGAAGACACTCACTGGAGGGTGACGGTGTGGGTTCCGGGCATTGGCCGCTCGATCTCCAGGTCCCGTCGGCTGCAGGCAACACATGCATCGTTAGCATTGGCAGACCTACCCCGGAAGCTACTCTCACCATGCCAGAGCTGGAGGTCCCACCACAGACCATTCTAGACGAGCACCCATAGATCATCTCTATGGGATCATGTAGTTCTCAAGAATCCATGGCCACGTAGCATCCTCAGAAGTGTTAAGAGCCAACAGGACTCATCTGTTTCTAGCAAAACCTTCCTCATTTTGCCTGGTTTATTGTCAGTATTACTACTATTTCTGCAGGCTGTGGGAGCACATGTTCCAGAACCTTTACTGATGCTAATGACCCTGTGCAGCCCCTCCCTGGGAGAGCTCCATTATCCTCAGCTGGACAGACTCTCTTCCCAGCAGCCTCCGGGGTTCTGCATCCCCCCCCCCCAACCCCGAGTTTCTCTCTGTTACCCAGCTGTACCCACAGCAGCTTTTACTCTGAGTCAGTCTTGGGCACATACATACCTCAACTCTCTACCCCTATTGCTCAGCCGCACCTCATTCATCGGGTCCCACAATCTGTATAGAAGCAAGCACCAGGCAGCTCCTGGCAGAGCTCACTCAGTGCCAAGGGCCAGCAGCGCCGGCTCCACTCTGCTAGCTAACCACCTACAGCTGCACAGCCCTGACCTTCGTTTCCACTGCAGGCCTGCTGCTGCAGGAGGCTGCTGAGCCCCCCGCCCCCCCCCCCCCCCCCCCCCCGTTGACGTGGCTACCCCTGCACAGGGCTCTTACCTGTTGTAGGCGCTGATGAAGAGGTGCAGGTTGCTGGGGTTCATGTCGTTGAGGATGTGCTGGCGGTATGTGTGTACCACCTCCACATTGTTGTGCATCTCCTCCTGTGGTGACAGAGGGAAGAGCAGGAAAGGCTTGACACCACCGCTCAGGCCACGGTGGTGTGGAGGGAGAAGACGGCCGGCCGAGATGCAGAGACAGCCATGGTCCAGAGACATGGCACGTCTGTGGTGCCCAGTGCAGACTGCTGAGTGACACCTACTGGCAGCCAGAAGGAGCCCATAACAAGGGAGGCCTAGCTTTCCCTCAGAGCCTCGGCTAATCTCAGGACTCCTGCCTGCTTGTGGTAGACCTCAGAGCAACCTGCCCGTCACTTAGAAGATCAGAAGAGCCTTTGTCAGCAAGGATGCTAAGCCATGACAGTGTGACCTGGGGGCGTCAGCCAGCCATTTCATTTACCAGCCCAGGGTGATACCAAAGCAAAGCAGGGTGTTTTCTGCTGCCCTGAAAGCTGGGAGAGCATCACAGAGCTGTCACATTCATTAGCTCGGCAGCAGAGAGGGCTCCTTCCCGTAAGCAGTGCAATCACCAGAGTCTGGGCAACCGAGGGGTTTTCCAGACATTGAACTTGGGTGTGAGCCTAAAGAACGTCCTCTCTGGGGGCTGTTGGCTCTGACTGCCACCAGATATGTGACACCAGCCAGAGGCAAGACCCAGGCCTGTCACCAGTACCCTGCAAGGAAGCCTGCTCTGCCTTCAGCCCATGGAAGAACTAGGCACAGGTGGAGGCTTCAGAGAGTTGGATGCTGCAGTTGGCAAGTTCAAATCCCAGTCACGCTTCTCCTGGCTTGGGAGACCTTACTGAGTCATTCAGACTCTGGCCTGAATTTTCTCCCCTCAGAATGGTGCCTGAGCTGATTCTATGGAATGTGTGTGGTTACAGAGCTCCTGGGCTGACTCTACGGAATAAATGTGTGCTCACGGGGCTCCTGAGCTGATTCTATGGAACGTCTGTGGTCCCCCACCGATTCTATGAGCTAATACTGGGGATGGAGCCCCAGGCAGACACGGAGCTGGTCCTGCAGGCATATACACTGAAGATGTCACTCTTTGTTTGTCAAACTATGACAAACAAAGGGGCCATCAGGAAAGCTGCGGTATGTGCGCCGAGTGAAATATTACACATACCAAATAGATGACGGTGTCCAAAACCTAAGTAGATTCTAAAATAATCTAAAAGTCGGCGTGCTAAGGGCGAGAGGCCACAGCGAAGAGAGTAGCGCAGTACGGGATTCATAGACGAATATCTAGCGTGACAGAAAGCAGTGTCTGGAAGGCGTGAGAAGAGGTTCCGGACAGGGCGGTGCCGGAAGGACACTTCCACTATCGTAGTCATTCTGAAGCCGGAAGGATTTACTTTAATACATGCCGCACACTGTGCTTCAACTAAAGGGTTACCAAGAAGCCCCACCCCGGGCTTCTGCGGGAGGGGAAGAGGGGGATCAGGGATGGTGTCCCCGGTGGGCTGCCCATGCCAGTGGATAACCCTATCAGCAGCTTATATACCAGCCAGATTCACTAATAATAATATTAATAAAAAGCCACACGTTTATTCGGGAAGGAGATCTGGGAAGAGCTGGAGGGGACATTGTACACATGTATGAAATCCTAGAAAAGGGTGCCTATAGAACACCAGTATGAATGGCTTGCTGGCTGTGAGTCAGTATTTCGCGATTATTCACAGACCTCACTCTGGGTCACCCTTGATTATGTTTTGTGTTTACCAGCCCCGTGTGGCCCCGTGCTGAGTGCCACCTGGTTAACTGCTCAGTGCAGACAGCAGGACACACCACTCACCTTGCCGAAGAGGTGGGACACGACCATGTCTGGCAGGGCTTGGGTCCACCCGGAGATCTGTGGAGGGTGAAGTGAATGGAGGAAAATCAGCAACAGGACTTAGCAGCAGAGGAAAAAAAGTCAGCAGCCTGGGGTCCTGGAGGCAGAGTGACACCTGGTTCCCTGAGGCTCACCCCCTCCTCCGTCTCCAGGACAGCCTGGACAGAGCCTGACTCTGGAAAGTGTGCCATAGGCCACTAACCTAGTTAGTGTTGCTCACTAACCTAGTACCACTGGGAAATAAGAGAGAACCTTAAAGGTTGAGACCCACAGTAGGCCTCCAGGGCTTTGGGGTAGTTCCTTTTATTTTTGCCCCCAGCCACAAGGTGGCTAGCCTGCTGCTTGACAAAGGGACCAAATCGTCTAAATCTGCTTGTGTGGCCTTAGTTCAGTTCAGTTCTTGACTCTGGTCCCCTCCAGAACCTATAGCCCAGGGCAGGCTAGGCCTGCCTGGCTTTGCATCCGGTTCCTTCCTCTCAGAGCCCACATGGATGGGACATACTGCAAGTGCGGTAGAACCACACAACCCAGGCAGGCCAGGTTCTCCTGCTCCCCAGTACTGAGGCCCCATCTCTCCAAGGCAGTGATGGCCACATCCACAGCGCAGGGTCCACTCAGCCCTGGCCTGACTGCCCCTCCCCCACCGCCCCCTAGCTTCTCCCCTCCAGCCCAGTTCCTGGTCTGTGAATTCCTTGAAGTCTCTGAATTCATTAATGACCTCTCACACCGCCTCCTGTATACAGCAGGATCTGAAAGCAAGGTAATATATGCCTCCTGTATACAGCAGGATCTGAAAGCAAGGTAACACGCTGTTGGTGCTCAATAAATGTTCAGATCATGACAAAAAGTCCAAACGACTAGTTATACAACAGCAGCTGTATAAATGCTCCAGGTATACTGTAGGTGCTCTACAGATAAGGCAGATACCACAGCTTGAGAAGAGATGGGTGAAGAAGATGGACATTGGACCTGGGGCCCCTGAACTGGCTTGATGGTTACCTGCACTGTGGAGCCCTGGGCTGGCTAAAGGCCCTGGGCTTCAGGTCTCTTGGCTATAACTGAAGGTGTTAAAAACCACGTCATGAGGACGCAGCACAGCTCCCACAGTGAGGGTCCAGTGAGGCAGCCAGGCAGGTCTTCCAGGCCAGAGGGACAGACATGGGAATTCACTAAACCCAGAGCACATCTCAGCCAGAGGCCCGTGTCCCAGCCCTCCTTGTTTGGCTCAGAGCAGCTGAGCAGCAGCCAAGTGGGCCCAAACGGAATGTCCCTTTCTGGACTGGAAAAACATAAAACCCAGCGAGGATGCTTTGCTCCTAGCTGCCCTGTGGGCAGGGACAGGACTTCCCATGCTTTAGGAAGAATCACAGCACAGCACCTAGCAGCAGACAGGAAGGAGGTGGGCACCGCTAATACCCTCTTCCTCAACAGCTCCAGCCTGAATGGCTTTGTCCCACCCTGGCTGGAAGCCTCTCCTTACCCTTTGGAGATCCCTAGGGACTTTACAGGAAAAAAAGAAAAGCAACAGGATTAACAGGGACCCTTGGGAGGGCAGCCAGGGCAGACCTACTGAGCAGAAAATGGTTGCTAGCAGAAACAGGGCTGAGGAAGGTTGCTCTCTAGGAGGGTAGGGAAAGTGGAAGGGTGGGGGGCCAAGAAGGCAGCCTTGGGGGGGGGAGGCCGGAAACCCCAACCCCCCCGCCTGCCCTGCCCTGCCCTGCCCTGCCCAGCCCAGCCTACCTTGGAGGCAGCCCAGTCCATCCAGCCTTCTGCACAGGGATTCACATTCATAAGCACGAGGCCTTCCACCATCTCAGGGTTGTTGAGCTGTAATCAGAGACACAACGTGAGACGTATCACCAGGGGATTAAAAAGAATACGGAGGCCTTTAAGCCAACAATAGTGGGAGTCTGGAGCTGGTGGGAATTGGCTCCCTGAGGTTCTACTAGCCCAGTCAGAAGCGAACCGGGTCCTCCCAAGGGGAGGAAGAAGCCACAGAAGAAGTAAGAATACATTCACACTTTGGGGACCTGCTAATCATGTCCGGGCCTCAGCGTCCCCAGATGCCCAGTGCTGCACCAGCCAAGCCATGTCTAAGTGAGAAGGGCCCAGAAATGCCCTGTGGCTCTGCTGCTTGGAATGCCTGTGTATTCAGGACCATGCCAGCATCTACTTGAAGCTGATGCCCAAGCTGAGTTGCCTGAGTACCATCAAGGTGCTGTACTTAGCAGGCATCAAAACACCCCGGGCTGAGGGACATGAGCCACTTTAAGGTAAACTAGCAACGACAAGGAGGACACCCACGGCGCTCGCTACCAGTGGTCACTGTCACATTCGTATGTGTCTCGTTCTTATTTAGACTCCCTCAGGATCGCAGAGGATCTGGGTCACAAAACCCTGCAGACAAAACCCTGCAGGATCTGAGGATGCTGAGCGGGAAGCCATCCACACTCCCTACTCAGGGAATAAGGTCGGTGACCAAAGCCCTGTCCCACTGTAGCATTTCAGCTGTGACATACTCGCACAGGTACCTATGTGGCATATGCCACAAGTGGCCCCGTGGCTCTCTCTTGGGGAATGGAAGTGCAGCTCATTTCTTTTTCCTCTTTGGGTTTTTTTGATGCTTCTCAAACTTTTTTTTTTTTTTTTTTGTCCACATGTGTGTCCCATACATGCATGCATGCAAGTACACACACCCAGCATAGCCATGCAGAAGCCAGGGCAAGGCATGGGTGCTTGCATCTGTTGCTCTCCACCATGTTCCCTTGAGACAAGGTCTCTCAAATAAGAAGCTCTCCCTTTTAGGCTAGGCTGGCTGGCCAGAGACATTTCCAGAGTCTCTACCTAAACCCAGCCCATCCCCATGCTGAGGGTACAGGTACCCACAACCATGCCTATCTTCAACATGGGATTGGGGGATTCGAACTCCAGCCCTTAAGTCTCTGTGCCTGCATATAGCAACACTCTTTCCTACTGAGCTTGCTTGCTCCCCAGCCCCTAAATAACTTTTTTTTCCCAATGTAATTTTACAAACTTACTGCGAAGCGGGTCAGGATGTAGGCGCCAGCTCCTGTTCCCATGCCAATGACACTCTTGAGCCTGGAAACCAAATGAGCATTCAGGTCACCCGAGGGAGATGTATGTGATAGAGTCCCTGCCTGCCCCAATAAACTCCCCCCTCACTTACTCCTAAAAAGCTCCACCCCTTAGATATCTTTGCTGAGGATGCTGACAAGCTTCCCTGTGCCGTGAGAGGCAGACTGCCCCGACGTGCCCTCCAAGTCCAGAGCTGTGACCTTGGGGAGCCCTCATCCCTCCTTTTCCCCTTGCTTCAGCCAGCCAAGGCTCTGAGATGACTAGCATTTACAGGAAGGCCCATTAACAAGTTGCCTTACCCCATTCCCAAGCTTTACTCTGGTCTCTGAAACTTGGAATGAGAGCAAATAGGGCCAGAACCATGGGCTTTAACCCTAGGAGAGGTGAGAAAGAAAAGGGAGCCTGCAAGGCAGAATGAAAAGAGAAGCCAAGCTCCCAGGGAACACTATTCCAGGAATGTGCCATGGGACCAGTAGGCAAGGACAGAGTGGACATTGGGGCCACTCAAGAAGCAAGGCTGAAGTCACAGAACACAGAGCGGCATGCTGAGCTGGGGGGGGGGAGGGGGGGTCCAAGCTGCTGCAAGCTCCTTTTCTGAACTTATCTGAGGTCTCCAAGCAGCATTTTAGTGGTCAGATCAAGGAAGAGGAGACTGGCAGCTGCCCTTAACAACCTTAGAAGAGAGGGTCTCTTGCTCTTACCCAAACTGGTGAAGGACTCCCGGAAGCATCTCAGCCAGCTGGTCCATGGAGGGGTACATGTACCTTTGGGGGACATGGGGAGGCAGACCTTGAGAACCCAGACCCTTGAAGAAACAAGTCATCCATACCAGAACATTCTGAAAGCCCAACACCAGCTGGCCCCCTCCACGGACCAACACAGACACAGCATCCGCACCCCTTGGCATCCACTGTCTGAGGACCCTGCAGCTTCCTCTGCCCTGGTCTTATCAGCTACTTGGGAACCACTTGGCAGTCTACACTCAGAAAGTGGCTAGCAGGAAGATCTGTCCTTCCCCTGGTGAGCTTTAGGGGTAAGATGCTGGGAACAGATATGACACAGACCACATGGCATTTCACAATTGTGGGTGGCCTCAGAAAGAAGGAACTAGAACGAGTGTGAAGGGATCGGAAGCCATCAGGTTCCCTGTGAGGAAAGGGGCTTGGTTGGGGAGGACACGGGAGCAAGGGATCACTCTATCCACGTGATCAGCGAGGGCTTCCTAGGAGGTGATGCTGAGATTGTGCCAGAGGCCAATGGGTAACGGATCCCCTGACGGGGAACGGATGTGGAGGACCCTGGACGAGCTGGAAGGCACCTAGACAACGTGACTTCACTGGAGACGGCTTCCGGGCAAAGGAGGGGCAGAGATCTGGGAGTGATCACACCTCAGCGTGGTGAGGCGGTCTCCCCGGTACAAGATGGAAAGACCCCTGACCACTTCCTGTCAGCTTCCTGGGGCTGGGTATACTAGAACAGAGTGGCAGATTCCTAAGCAGGAAGCAGACTCCCAACAGAGGATACAGTCAGTGATTCCCAGTCTTGCTCTCTAATAGCTCCGAGACAAGGGGTGTCACCTAGTCCCGACTCCAGAGGACGGGGAGGAAGCCACATCCTGTTCCAACAGTGTTTTACCGTAGTCACCTGGCAAACTTAGGGGCCACACATCCCATATATTAATCTGTATTTCCCCCTGGGGAAGGCACATCATGAGACTTTACTTGGGGAGTAAGAGTCTCTGTGTGTCCCTCCTGATTTTCATCAGCTGGTTAAGAGTTAACTGTACGCCACCATTGAACAAGCTCTTTAGACTTATGTTATGCTATCCTATGTTATGTGTGTTATGATATGTACACACACGTAGCCATAAAAATTTGCTGAAATGAAATATACTGTTTTGTTTGGGCTTTCTTTCCCTTCCTTCCTTCCTTCCTTCCTTCCTTCCTTCCTTCCTTCCTTCCTTCCTTCCTTTCTTTCTAAAAACTTTGAGATGGTTTTGCTATGAGCCCAAGCTAACCTCAAACTAACAATCCTCCTGCCTCAGCTTTCCAAGTGCTGGGATTGCAGGTATGCTTCACCATGGCCAGCTTAGAAATAGTACCCCACCTGCTGCTGGGGCAGGGTCTCTGCTCTTACCCTGCTGGGAAGGATGGGGCACCATCCTGTTGGCCAGGGGCATCCACATGGCAGACAGCAAAATGATGTGTGATCTCCTGCATGTCCTCAGAGTTGAAGAGGGGTTGTAGCAGGTCTTGTCTGCAGGACACAGGAAAAAAGTTAGGATAGGGGCTGGCAGCAAAAGCAGATTCATTTATTCTGTCAGTGAGCAGCAGCAAGGGAGGAGCTCCAGAAGTATGCCTAGGTAACCTAGGTCGACACACAGAGGGTTCTAGAACCAGTTACGCTAAACAGCTTCACGCAGTGAAGCCTCATCTCAAAAGAAAGAGTACAAGTCTGCTCACCCTACCCCCAGGCCTCCCTCTGGTTACAGAGGCAGGGAAGAAGTCAGAGCTAAGATCTGGTACAGGGTGGAACTGGTCGCTAAATTCCTTGAATCCCCCTCTTTGGCATAATCGCCATGCGGTTAGAACAAGCTATATTCACTTCTCTGGGCTTCCAAACTGTGAGATCTGGGACGCCTTCCAAGCCACACATAATTCTCAGACAAGAAGTGTCCACCTGTGTCTCCTGGAATGAGCCTCACACTTGCTAAGGGGTTGTTGAAGCAAAACCAGCCAGCTGTGTAGTCGAGGCTGTCCTTGAACTCCTGATCTTCATACCTCTATGCATAAGGGTTAGGATTAGAGAGGGGTGCACCACTACCACCACACCTGGCGTTGCTTTCTGTAGCTCAGGTTGACCTGTAACTTACTATGTAGTGTAGGTTGGTCTCCCGGCCCCAGATTCCCAAATGCTAGGATGACAACCATAGGCTACCAAGCCTGGCTTGCTTCCTGTCGTCTTAAAAAAATCCAATGTGTCAATATTCACTACAACACTGTGTATAACAGTTACGCTCAAAGAGCCAAATATCCTCTCTCCAGGGTGGCGGTTTAAATAAAAATAGTCCCAACAGAGGCGGGCAGTAGTGGCGCTCGGGAGGCAGAGGCAGGCGGCTCTCTGTGAGTTCGAGGCCAGCCGGGTCTATAGAGAAAGTGGCAGGCCAGCCTCCAAAGCCACAGAGAAACTGTATCTCTCTGCTGGCAGATCAGTGTGTAGCTCTCAGCTACGTCTCCAGCACCTTATCTCCCTGCCTCCATGTTCTCTCTCTCTATGCCGTGACCAAACATCTAAAATTGTAAGCGAGCCCCCAATTCGATGCTTTCTTTTATAAGAGTTGCCTTGGTCATGGTGTCTCTTCCCAGCAATAGAATAGTGACTGGGACAGAAGTTGGTACTGGGAGTGGGGGGTTGCTATGGCAGATCTGACCATGATGCTTGTTGGAGAAATATGGAGCAAGTGTGGTTGGCACTCAGAAGGATCCTACTCGCCAACAGCAGAGTGAAGTACTATGAAAGGCTACAACACGCATCCATCTTGGAAACATGGACAAAGCCGGGCGTGAACTAATCACTGAGGACCACACACTGGAGGAGCGTGCTTAAGAGAGTCTTGGAGACATACAGAAAGGAGACAAAGCATCCTCAGAGGGCTGAGGAGCATGTAGGATCAGGGCAGTGGAGAAAGGGGACAAGGCTTCTTCTAAGAATGACTATAGTGTCCTAGGGCTGTTTGTGCTGCTGACTACGCAGATCTCTGTGGTGATGTCAGAGACTGATGCACATATTAATTTTTAAGTCACTGTAACAGGTCGTTAGGTGGCATAGGCACTTGCTTCCTTCCCCCAGAGTGTCCAGTACTAACACACAGTATGATCATGTTTTCCCAGACTGAGGCAAGAGTCCCTTCTGGAATAGCTCCAAGTCACAAAGGCCAGAAGAACTGCCAACTACCACGAGCCATGCTTAGCTGGCATTTCCCTCCCCCCAGTGACCCGAACTCACGGTTCATGCCGATGTCATGGTACGTGAGGATGACCGGACGGTTGCCCTTGGGGGTCCCACACAGTGTGACATGCAGGGAGCCATGTAGGGTTTCAATGTCCTGCTCCTGAGGAGAGATCACAGACAGAGCCCTGTTGCATGGGATTCACGGTGGCAGTGTGACTGAACCACTGAGTGTGGACACTTGCCATGATTTCTGAGGACACCCCAAGTACACACAGCTTTGGTCCCCAGGGCTCTGCACTGGGGACAGCAGATGTTTGAGGCCAGAAAGAGGGAGGGATGGAAGGAAAGGAAGGCAGAGTAAAGCTGTGCCAGGAGGCAGAAGACAGGGCCCTGGCAGGTTGTGCACTACGTTCCAGGGACAATTGGCCCCAGCCATGCTCCCTGAAAAGGACTTTGTTTCTGCATCTGGCATGAGCTTCCTTGATTTGCTGCACCTGTACCTCACCTAACCTATGGGCAATAAATATTTGCTTATTTGTAGCTTCCTAGAAGTCACTCCCCATTTCAGAGGACAACCCCTGTTTCCTGTGGGGAGACAGACACAGTGTGATATTTTGAGTAAGAATGGCTCTCCTAGGCAAGGAAAGGAACCCTTTGCTAGGATTAGAATTAGGAAATTAGAAGGCACGGCCTCGCTGGAAAAAGTGTCACTGCGCTCTCAAAAGCCCACACCCGGTCCAGTGTGTATCCTCCCTCCCCTCCCCTCCCCTCCCCAGCCTGTGGGTCCGGACGCAGCTCTCAGGCACCACTCCACACCACGCATGCTGCCATGCTCCCTGCCTTGATGATAAAGCCAGCCCCAATTACGTGTTTGTGTTTGTTTCATTCTTTAATAGAAGTTGCCTCAGTCATGGTGTCTCTTCATAGCAAAAGAATAGTGACTATGACAGACAAAGACACACACAGACATACACACACATGCACACACACACACACACACACACACGCATGCACACACATGCATACACACGCGCACACACGGCACCCCTTTGGTTCTAGCATCTGTTGGTGTCCACCCCTCCTGTTTCACAGGCTGAGGTCCAATCCCCACGTTGCACCTCTCAAATGGCATGCAATAGTAGGTGATACCAAGCAGAGCTAACCCCACTCACTGTGAAAGTGGACTAGGCTTGACCAGGTAATATGATGGCCTACCTAGAAGCCATCATATTACCACAAGGCAAGGGTTTGCCTGCATTAAACCATCATGCCAGGGATGGTAAATGCAGCAAAAAAGTAGAAGACTCAATGGCATCCACCTCCTGGGACTGTCAGTGTCGTGGGCTAACAACTTCCCTCTCTGGGTTGATGAGAGAACCTGCAATGATCCACCTAAATTCTTTCTCTCTCATGCTTCACACCGAGGCCATCTCTTAGTGATCCACAGCCCTCCCCATGCACCCTCATGAGAGGATGGAGCGTGTCCATCTTTCTTCTGCCCCTAAAAAGACAGGCTCCATCTTAGTTCCAACCCTCACCTCCCTGTGGGCTGCTTTGCCCTGACATCATCATCCGAACCCATGTAGATGGTTGTGACCCTGCCTTTGCCCAATGCTGTCTGTCTACTTTGCTGTCAGTCAAGGCTTCCAAAGACCCAAAACACATCTCCTGGGAGTGAGTTTCCTCATCTGAGAGCAACAGCTTCCTCCTCTGATGTGGGTGGCTCTTGGCTGCCCTCCCCAGCTCAGCTGGGCACACGGAGGCCTTCCTTGTAAGCCAGACCATTTCTCTCCAGATCATTTCTTGCAAGAAGAGCCCTGCAATGCTATGTGACACCTGCATCCACACCTGATGGTCAGGGGTAACAGGCAGGTGACACAGAGGCAGAGGTCCCAGTCAAACCCTTCACTCCACACACTCACACAGGTTGGAAATAGCACAGCCCACTTGCACCTCAGAACACGATGGATGGATAAGCTTGCAACAAGTGTTAAGATTAAAGCAGGACACGGAAAATTCCCAGTGCCATCCTTCTCCCAATATCTAGGACCCATACAAGTCTCCTGAGGCGGGAGACTAGAGTGACGCCCACGGTCTAACGTGAGGGGGGATGGAGAAGACACCCACTCAGGAGCTGAGGTCTGGGAAGTCACCCTAACCTGTCCTGTGAGACTCTGGGTGAGCAGAAGGCTGTGAAGCCGATGGGGACAGGGATTGCAGCACAAACAGGTATTTACGCATACACAAGGGAGCCCATGGGTGCACTGGTACAGCATCGCCCATGCCTGCACTAAAACAGCAATGCACGTTTGTAGTAGTAGAGTAATGCATCTGGGTCAACTAATGCAACCGTGCACATGGGCGTACTGGATTTGCAGTGCTCATAGGTAAAGCAGCACACACAAATATACTATTGCAACACTGTGCAAGGACACGGATGTGCTGGTTTTGAGTGGAGAGGTGCACACTCGTATCCTAATATACAGTACACATGGATGTCTGTGAATAGCAGTGCACATGGATGTATTAGTATAGCAGCACACATGCGTGCACTAGCTAAGGCGTGCCCATGGATTCGAAACAAAAGGAACAGGCCCTCATTCCAGAGCCCCACCTCCACAGAATGGCTGTCTGAGTGCTGTTTTCTCTTTGCTGTTTGTACATACTGGAGATGGAACCCGGGGCCTCACACCCAGTAGGCACAAGTGACCAAGCTACAGTCCCAGTCCCCAGTGTGGCATCTCACCAAGGCCCCATCCTGTGTGGGTTGGCTGTGGCCATGCACATCATCTACAACCCCAGCACTGAAGAGGGAGACTTTGGAGACAGCCTGGGCTACACACTGTCTCAAACACACATGAGCACACATACACTTAAGGAAGAGCTAGCTCTGTGTCCCCACCTAGGCACAGAGATACAGGGGTCCCTAACCCTTCCTAACCCTGAAGGCTTCTAACGCATGCAAGCCCAGAGCCCTGACTCCCACTCCACTCTACAGAATAGGAATCTGAACTGTGGCAGTGTCTATGAGGAAGGAAGTGAGGATTCTGCAGGCGCAGGCAGGCATTGGCACAGGCGCACTCGGGCGCCGACAGGCACAGCCAGGTACAGGCAGACGCAGACAGGCACCAGAAGACAGTCAGGGATAGGTAGGCACTGGAGGCACAGGCAGGGACACCTAGCTCCAGCGCAGAGTCTCCTGAGCCATATGCCTTATTGTTCCCCCTTGGGAACACAAAAGCCCAGCCCTGCCTCCCTCCCCCCCCCCTTCCCCTTCAGCCTCGGTCCTGCTTTCCTGCCCAGAGCAAGCTCTGGAAAAATCCATAGGACAGGAGCGACAGTGCAGCCCCGTGAGACATGGGTCATCTGCTGACCCTGAAGCCACCATGGAAATAATGGCCCATTGTGGAGCCACATTCTTTATTGTCTTCAGGGCTAACCCACATGGCTCCTTCTAAAAATAGACCAAGCCAGCCTCCCGGTGGACAGACACTCCGCTTCAAACCCTTGTCCCATCCGACAAACCTCTCAGAAGGGAGAGCATGTCCCCAACCCAGGAGCCTCAGCAGCAGCAGCAGGCAAGAGGAGCTGGAACACAGCCAGGCAGAGGGGACCCTTAGCACCCACTACCACTGAGACCAGCCTTATGGGGGTGAAGGCGCGTACCTGGCTTTGGTCCACCCCCTTAACCTGAAGGTGTGGACCATTTGTGTCATCATCCCACCAAGACAGAGAAGAGAAGCTAGAGGTCACAGCTGTTTTGGCTTTTTTGGGTCAGCCCAGGTCACAGAAAACATCAGGGTCATAGTGAAAAGCCCAGTCTCCAAGGAAAGAACATGTCTGGGTCAGGGATAGAACATGCCTGGGTCAGGGAAATAAATGTGGAAGTGACCAGGGGAAGCACAGTGGTCTGTGCATAGGATCAAGGTTCGTGGATGCAAGACTGGCCATGCCCTCCATGGCAGTGACCCCTGCCTCCATGTTTCACAGATTAGAGCTAAGTCTTGGAGAAGACAAGAAGGCAAATAAGACAGAGGCCTCCTGTCCACGCATTCCAGTTACCGGAAGAGGGTCAGCCTGACAGAGCCTGGCCTGGGGCAGACATGTCAGCACAGCTCTAAGCCTCGGCTGTCCTTTACTGGTCCAGGGGGCTGTTGCTATAGGGAAACCCCAGAGCAGGCAGCTGGCATGTCACCTCCATGCAGATGTGCATCCCTGCCATATGCCAATGGGGCTTCTGAAGCTTTGCTGGGTGCGAAGTGAGAACAGGAACAGGAACGGGACAGGAAATGGGGAACTTCTGTCCTGTGCGCTCAAGCCACGGGGAATGAAAACAAAGGTATAAAGAGAAAGAGAGTAGCCCAAGATGGCTGCCCGTCGGCCTTTCCCGTGGGCTAGTTAATGGGCTTGCAACAACAGAAGCACAAAGACACAGCCTCCAGCCCGGCTTGCTCCAGGAGCTTCCAGGAAGTAGGAACCGAGCACAGAGGGCAGCCCACACCGTCTGGCCCTCTACCCTCCAGCAAGCCCTAAAGGGAACAGCTGCTCATTTTCCAGAGTGTTCTGGGTGCCCTAACATCTTCCCATGGAAACCAAATCAGATGAGGTCATTTGAACAAGCACAGGGCCCAGGTAGAAGGCATTAGCCACTGAAGACCTAGTAGCAGAAGCCAGCCAACCAACCTGTGGCCAGAAGTGACTGAGTAGGAAAAGAGTCAACATGAGCACTTGCCCCTACACACACGCACACACGCGCGCGCACACACACACACACACACACACACGCAGGCACACACGCACACATACACACACGCACGCACACACACACACACACACTTTCAGAGGAGAGTCTGGCTCTGAATGTAGGAACTGAAGCAGCGTCAACGCCCATCTCATCATTACATCACGTGACTTCCCCAGAGTTGTAACTTAGATGCGAACACTAGCAGAGGAGGGGCATCGCCCTTACCAGGCTGTCGTGAAACTCACATATGGCCACACTAAGCAGTTTCCAGAAGCCACTTTCAACTTTACAACCTTCCTGGACTACTGTGTTTCCAGAAATCAACCTAGACTTAAACCTGGAACTAACCCCCATCATACCCCTGGGCATCTTCACGCAGATCTCTTTGCGGGAGATAGTTTAGCACTGTGTGTGACATAGTTAGGAAGGGCTGGTTCATCCAGTGGCTTAGACAGACACATCTGGACCACTAGGGCAGGGCTGGACCATCTCAAAGGCATCTGCCAGTTTTGATCATCTAGAATTCCAGAATCATAGTCAAAGAAAATAAGCTCAAATCCCCCACACTCCCACAACCCCAACTCAAACTTACAGACAGAGCCACCATCCTCTGAGGACCAGATCAAACCATATCCTTCCTGAGGCACTGTAGGCCAGCAGCCACCAGTTGGCACACTAAGGGATCCAGGCACCATTTAGCAAAAGGACACGCATCGATGCGAGCTATCTCTTTTATTGGTGATAGAGTCTTTTCTGGTCAGCTCTGAGCTAGGAAACTCATGTTTGTACTATTGAAAAGAGGTGCCAAAAACTTAAACTCTTAAGACCATGCATGCACAAAGCAGAGTCACCTAGGTTTATTGAAAATCCTAAAGTAGGAGCTATTCTTCATGTAGCAGCCCAGACTGCCTTCAGATGGGCACGGTGGGCATCTGGGTTCCTCGAGCTAACCTCTATGAAATGGGAGGAATAGGGATTGAGTGAAGGCACTGAGCGGTTGCCAAGAAGGCACAGACTAAGCCACACTCCCCCAAAGATTTAACAAGAAATCAATGGACTAGTACAAACCATGTGGTTGGCCAGACAGACCAAAGAGGCAAGCCACAATAGAATCTTAAGGACCCCTCCCCCAAGCCTAGAAATATATAGGAAAGTTCTGCAGGAGACAGTTCCAGCCAAGCTTGGGCTCAAGGGAGCACTTTACAGATGCTGTCACGGTCTCAGCATCCATGAGCAGGGGCAGTGAATTTTCAGCAAGAGCACAGGGTACCTGCTTGGCTTTGTCCATGGACACCATGGCAGGTTAAGTGGGGTTATGAAGCTATGTGAAGTTATCAAGTCACCAAAATACAGCTGCTATGTAGCCCTACTTACACAGGGTGCTTAGAAACAAACTCATTCATAGAAGGTGAAATAGAGCCAGGCGTTGCAAGGCACGCCTTTAGTCCCAGCACTTGAGAGGCAGAGGCAGGAAGATCTCTGGCCTGGTCTACAGAGCCAGTTCCAGGACAGGCTCCAAAGCTAGAGAAACCCTGTATCAAAAAACCAAAAAAAAAAAAAAAAAAAGGAAGGTGTGAAATGGTGATGGAAGGTCCTAAGAGAGGGGAACACAGTCTTGAAATCTATGCATTTACTGCCACCAAACTGCACACTTTAATGGTAAACATAATGCCTATTCTATGTTACTTTACCACAGTGAAAGTCAGAGGAGACCCACAATATCGTGGGGTGTGTTCTGTTTGACCCAGCACTCTCTCTATAATACAAGGTATCTAGACTTTTCCATATCACAAACGAGGAAACTGAGGCAGGAGGGACTGGGTTGACAACTGTTACTTGCACCACTGAGTAACACACATAGCCTTCACTCTGAGAACAGATAATTACTATAGCAACCATGCACTGAGTGAGCAGGAAGGCCCACAGAGCAAAGAAAGCAAGTCACCAGGCTCTTATCTGGGCGAGGCTTGCAAGGCTCAACCCTGACTACACAGGTGGGCCCCAGGGACTGTCAGTCACAGTTCTGCTGAGCCCACAAAAGCCAACGAAATAACCAAGGCCCCAGGAGACAGTTTTATGGCTCTTACTACCCTGGAACAAGAGGACACAGTGATTAGAAACACAATCAGGTGTGAAACAGATCAGATGTGTCATGATCTTAGCCACTGCCAATACACAACTTCTGCTCTTACTCTGCCCCTCTGTGTCTCCAGTAGGGACCTAGCAGGGCTGAACAAAATGAACCGAAGTCCTCAGGATGGATTTTCCAGCTCATCACAGTACCCACACATCCCTGAGTTCTAGAGAAAGAGATGGATGATGTGGAGTTCTGGACATTGCACACAAAGCAAGGAGACTAACTAAACACACAAGCTCAATCAATACCTGGGAACAGTGAGCCAAAAATGTGCATTTCCTCCAGTGTAGCCAAACCTGGGCCTGTGCTACCACTTCAGTCCACCTCCGGTTCTCCATCTGAGCTAGATGGACATGACGCCTCCCTGATTGTTGAGGTGTAAAATGGGGTACTGGCTGGGGTGGTACCTTGAGGATGGGAACAGGCAGTGACTTGCCTCCTTTAGCAACCACAGGGTGGCCTCTGGTGAGCCAGCCACTCTCCAGAACCTTCTCTCTCCTTAACAAGAATGTGGGTGGGACTAGCTAGGGCCATCAAAACTCCGCTCTTGTTCCTGGTGGTGGGCACAGCTCACCCAATGCGTCCCCAAATCCTCAGCCTCCTGAAAGGCAATGGACCAGATCACAGGAGTCAAACACGACATATCTAATCAGGCAGGGGTGAGGGTGGAGTGACAGGCGGTACTCTGTGGGCCTCCAATACGCTAAACCCCTCCTACATCCTTTACGTCCAAGCTACTGCCCCCACCCCCTGCACAGGCTCTCTCCTGCCTCTACACACAAGGCCAGTGAGCAGTCTGCTTTTCTTCCGTCTCTGGTGGGATGTATCCTGAATGCATACTACCATGCATTTGGGGGGAGACGGGCTTCTCCTGATGTTCCCACCCATGATCTTAGAAACATCTTTCTTGTCCTCAGAGGAGGACAGACAGAAGCCATGGCCTCAGACCCACACTGTGAGTCCCTGGAGCCTGGAGGTCACAGTAGCCTGCAACCAAACGGATACTAGACCCTTAAATGCCCACCTCATACCTTCATACAATTTATAAGGACCCATGGTGGAGATGAGCAAGCTTCTAGCCCTTGTTCCTAATCTTTCCTTTTCCTCCTGGAGTCAAGGCCAGAGTCCCCACCTCTCTGGAAGGATGAGTACACATGGCAGCAAGAAACCCTGGAAGATGTCACAGATGGCTCCTCTGCAGGCATGGGCCGGAAGTCAGGATGTGTGGGTGGGAACCGGGGGAACGGGGGTCCCTATCCCACCCTCCGTAGGACTCATGCTTGGGGTGATGGCACAGGGCATTGGACAGACCAGTGTTTCTCCCTCTCTACAAATGGCTTAGGCAATGCTGGAAACACGCGTTTCCGCCAGCTGGCTCTGAGCGGGCTACATACTCCAACGTTGGACAAAGAGGGACCCCTGTAACTTGCCACAGTCATCCTAGTTCTCTCAGTCTGTCTGTCTGTCTGTCTTCCCGGGGGCTGGTCAGTTCCCGCCTCCCTGGCTGGAACCCAAACCAGCTTCTTCAAGGGGCAGCTACAAAGTGTGAGGATAGGCTGAGCCCGTTCCCTTCCTTCTCTCTGCTGACACCACATCTAGACAGCAATCCATTTCACGCCGATGCGAAGAAGAAAGGAAGGGACAGGTGGATAGACAGGTGGATTAAAAGGGAGGCCACGCCCTCTACTTGCCTGAACATCGAACTCTTGCAGGAGGCCGGTGAAGGTCTGCGGAGAAATGACAGAGGCATGATTAGTTTCCAGGGTCAGAGACATCCCCGGTCCTTCCCTTTGCCTGAATCTAAACTCTGCTCCACTGGCTTCCCTTAGAACTTGCAAAGAGACTGTTTCATCTCAGCAAACAGCAGTCCCATAGAGAAACAGGCCCATGGGCTCGACTCTTCTGAGGACAGCTGTCCAAAAGATGTGGAGGAAGAGCAGAGAACAAGGCCGGGTGAGGGAACACAGCATGCGGCTATGTAACTCATACACACACCCACGTGCTCTAGTCCTGAACTCAAACAGGAGCATGCCACTGCTACAGTTTCCCCGTGGCTGCCAGTGGTTGCGTTCTGTATTTAAGTCCGGTCTTTTGTGGGGAGAAGAGGATAACAGAAACCCGGGAAGCCTTTTCCTCAATCTACACATAATGCATTTCAGCACAAACAACAGCTTTCAGTGACAGGAAGGGCCCAGGAAAGTAGGTAGAAGGGCTTGACTCCACTGAAGCCAGGACCAGTGTGGCTCGGGAGGATCTGGAGCCTCGCTGGCTCAGTCAGCATCTGTTGGGGATTGCTATTGACTTATTTTCTGCCTGACTTAAGGGCTGAAAGTAAACAGAATGTCAGGCGACGGGCAGAGCCACGAGCCTCCATGACAGAAGATGCTCAGCAGTGCCAAGTGCCCAGGAGGCCCGGAAACACAGAGCAAGGAGCAGGGGACCGCAGGGGCTGGAAAACTCTAAGACAATAACAGATGCCTGGCTACAGGCTGCAGTGGCAACAGACAGGAACATCAAGAGTCACTAAATACAGATAGAAACAAAGGGGACCAATGATTGTCCTCTTCGCGAGCGTGTGTGTGTGTGTGTGTGTGTGTGCGTGTGTGTGCGTGTGTGCACGTGCATGAGTGTGCGCATGTGTGTGTATGTGTGCTGTGTGCGTGTGTGCATGTGTGTGTGCATGTGTGCACGTGCATGAGTGTGCGCATGTGTGTGTATGTGTGCTGTGTGCGTGTGTGCATGTGTGTGTGCATGTGTGCACGTGCATGAGTGTGCGCATGTGTGTGTATGTGTGCTGTGTGCGTGTGTGCATGTGTGTGTGTGTGCATGTGCGCGCCCACATTCTGCTGTTCATTTGTTTATATGCTATGCTCTTGCTCACACGTGTGCATGTTATGTACAATGTATTCATGACCATGAGTGTGCATGCCATGTAACTACAAGTGTGTGTGTGTATGTGTGTGTGTGCGCGTGCCCACCATGAGCACGTGATGGACTGACTCACCTCCCCTTTTTCCACCAGAGGCTTCACCTCAGCGAGGTCCACGTCCTGTAGCTCTCGGGACATATCCCTGCTATCACAGACCTACCAGGGGAAAAAAGGCCAGAAGGTCAAGCATTTCCCAGTGAGAGAACTTTCTTGAAAAAGGCAAATACATGAATGGAACACATAGAAACGCCACCCCAGGCCTCCCCACTGCCCCCCAGACTCCTCCCACCCACAACCAAGCCTTTCCCAGGCTTTCTAGTGGAACTGGGTTATAGATTTATTTCTGAAATCAGTTCACAGTCACACCGACACCGAACAAAGCAGGTGGATGGAGAACTAAAAAGCAGTAGGCACCACATCTAACCTAGACCCACCACGCTCACCCCAATACTTCTTCATGAATTCTAGAAGGACCCCCCTCTACTGATACCAAAGCCAGACACCCCTCAGAGTAACAATCAAGAAACCAAAAGCCCCCCGATGTCACCATGCCCAGGTGCTATATACAGCTCCGGGCAGGACTCCAGGTTGCCTAACCATAGAGGGAGACTCCACAGGACACAGGGACAAACCTAGGCTGAGGGTCTGACAGGCACTGAGCACTCCGTGGAATGCGGAAAGGGAATCTAACATGAACGGCACTTCCTGCGCCAGACCCCAAAAGGGAAAGCGAGAGCGGCAATGGGTGTCTCCTTGGCTGGCACTGGGGCACATATATTCCCACAGGCCAAGAAAGAAAGGCTACAGAAACAGACAGGTGCAGAGCTCAGAGGAGCTGGGAATTCTGGCCTAATGGGTTCCTGTGGAGAAGAGGGAGCCGAAATGGATGCCCACAGACCTGGCAGATAAACACACATACTTCTAGAGCCACAGTCAAGTTGGAAGAGTAAATGCCCACCGAGAGCAGCCATGGATAGATAAGGTTCAAGGGATGCTGGGAAACAGAACAGACGTAACACAGGTGGTACACAGAGGACCTGTGGTAGAGGGGGAAGCCAAACATGGCCCAGAATATGGCCTTCTAACTGCCTACAGGCAGAGTATGAGTTCAGAACCCCAGCTGCTCGAGGCCCTGTAGCCTGCAGCAAAGGGAGCTAAAGTTTCCAAGAATTCCTGAGAACCAGCTGCCCGAGCCCACAGGAATCCTGTGACCCTCGTCGACAGGCTAGCCTACAAGAGCAGGCTGCTCTAATACAGACCCAAGCATGCCGTGGGTGGACGGGGTGTTCTGGTCTGGGGCCCCAACATGAACTCTCTCTCTCCCAGTAGATAACCACCTCACAAGAATGTCTTTATGCAGCCTTTGGGGTCTGGGATCCAGAACATTTCAAAAAACAAAGTCAGTTTTATATCTGCGAACATTCCTGGGCCTCTGCCAGCTCCGAGGCAGCAGGCAGGAAAAGCTATGGTCTGAAAGTCTTGCTAATTCAGCATGTTCATAGTCCCGAGACCTTAGCCGTGGGACACCTCGCCTACACAGCCTAGAGAGACCTTCCAATAGCCCTGGGCTCTGGCAACACCACCTTCCATGCTGAGAGTGGAGAATTTCACAGTTCACAGGGATCCTGGACATGACTCTGCTCAACACAGAGCTCAGGGTGAAGCTGGGGTCTTCAACTTTCCCACATGGTGGGTTCTGACAAGCCCTCCCCTGTGAGCCCCAGCCATCATTAGTACCCCTGCCTTATGCCTCTTGGCTCTCTACCCAGAGGTATTTCAGTACCCCCTGGTTGATCATTACACCTGCAAGCTTCCTTTGTAGTTGCCCATCCGTCACACACTGCTGTCTAGCTCAGTTTGGTCAGCCCTCCTCGGCTTCTAGAACATAATGCCAGCCTCCACCAGCCCTCTCCTCCTTCAGAAACTACAAGAGATCAAGTGCAGCCTCCAGTTCCCTCACTAAACCTCCTGATTCACCCACTCACCTCACACCCTTTCTCCTTTCCCCAGACCTCAGGATGAGAGGGGCTGAAAGATAGCACAGTCTCCTGATACCTCAAGCATTTGCCAGCCTGCACTTTGGAGCCTTAGAGCCTTCCTCTGGCAAGCCTTCAGCCAACTCAAGGCCTGACAGAAGTCCAAAGGTGAGGGACATGAGTAAAATCTCCACTAGGATTGATGTGTCTCCAAGAGGCCCTTTTGCAAATATTTCAAGACCCTGTTGATTGCCATGAGCAGAGTGCTACTGGGATTCATTGTGATGAGGCCAGGGACACTGCTAAAGATCCCACACTGCACAGGACAGCCCCACAGCAAAGACCACCTGGCCCATGATGCTAACCACGCACAGGCTGAGACATCCTCATCTTGGTGAAGATGCAAATGTGGAGAGAGAACACATATCCCAGCAGACTGTGGGGCGTGCCTGGGGATCAAATGCTCTGAGGGTGAGGATGCCTGTTCTATCCAGGTCACTGTTTCTCAGTGACCAAAACTGTACAATAACCAGGACCACAGACAGCTGGGCTATCACAGGCTACCACCATTCCTTATACTCATCAGCTATTGGGGTGTAGAGCATTGCCCTTCTACAGTTAATTCCCCTAACAGGACCAATGGTAGGTAGGCCCAGTCCCTAAATGGCTTTGGCAGCCCAGCAAAAGAACCTTCCATATGTTTGTTTTTCTTTCCATAAGCTTCTGTACAAAAATAGTCTTTTTTTTTTAGGACGTTCAGGGTAGAAAAACAGATTAAAAAGCCCAAACAGGAAACTTGGGTATAGCCAAGGCGACATACAGGTATGGCCAATCTGTGGGCCCTTGTTCTCCTCCCCAGCCCCGCCCATTATGCTCTGCACCTCTGGCAGTTTATGATGTCCATGATGTAGTCTTAGTTTCTTTCTGAAAGGCGTTAGTAAGGACAAAGTAACTGCGGTGTTGAGGAGAACTCACCATGTGATGGGTGTGGGGATAGAGCCAACGACAGCTCCCAGGACCTCAGTCTCAAGGCTCGTATGTATACGGCCTTCGTGCCCCCTCTGCATCCAAGTGGCACATCTGTCTGTCCCTACAGGGCCTGACTCTCCAGGACCATGAAAAAATTGATTCACCAGTTTGTTTTAGCACTATGACATTTAGACCGCTGAGCATCTTATGATGTCCAGAAATATCCCTGACCCTGGTTAAGCCACCCCCTCAAGCTGTGACAATTACAATTGCCTGCTGACACTGCCAAATGTCCTTTGGATGCAAAAATCAAATCTTTTCTAGGATTGGCTGAGCTTGGTGGTTCCTGGTATGAAGTGGGCATCCAGAAACGTCAGTTCTTTAATCCAGGACACATTCACAATCGCTTCCCCCCAAATCTAATGACTTCGCTCCTTCACACAGCCCACTGCGGGGATTAGAGGAGGGGAGAATTTCCTCCCAGTGAAAGTCTCCTACAGAGGTGGGTGCAGCCCAGGGTCATACCACCGGCTGGCAGCCTGGCTGGTACTGTTTCTTCCTGTCCCACCTGCCTGCCCCAGGAATTCAGAAAAACAAAACTGTAGCAAGGGCCGCCTGGTGATCAATAGCAGACTGTGGAGCAGACTCTGCTATTTACCACCAGCCTCAAAACCAAGTTGTCTGAAGCTCTACCTCTGTGTGTTCATGGACGTGTGCACGATGCCAAGGACATTGTGAGGCCTGCTCCCAGCAAGCAGCAGGGCTTAAGCTGAACAAACAGCTGTTTAATGAACCGGTATCTCTTCTCCTCCTTCCCAAATGGCTGGGGAGTCCCTGGGGCGCTGTGAGGACACACAGCCTGTGCTTTACACATCGTTCGTCCCAGAGTGGCCGAGCAGGCAGGAGAACATGTTAAAAAAAAAAAAAAAAAAAAAGTTCGGGGAAAAAAAAAAAAAAAAAAAAAAAAAAAAATGCCAAACCGGTCTCAGTGTAGCACCAGAGATGAGGTCCCTCTAAGGTCGGAGAGGTTAGACCATGAGTGGCAAGGATTAAGAGGGCTGGGCAAACACATCTTGGTCAGTAATGAACAAGAATTTGAGGGCCCCTGGCCAAGCCAAGCCAACATGAGCTAGGAGCAGAGAGAAATGTAACCCTAGGCCTCAAAGGGCAATGGGTGGAGCCCCTGCTGGCAATACAAGGCCACTTGAGAATCATTAGGCAGTCTCTGGTAGCATTGGGGACAGAGTCTGGGATTCACAAGAAGCCTCAGAGAAGTGGCAGAACATGCTTGGGAGTTACTAGCATGGGAATCAGGTCACCTTCTTGCCTTATGACCCCTGTGAGCCTCAGTGTGTCCTTGGGACACTGCATGATTCCCAACGCAGTCAGTACACATGGGGACCCAGGCAGGAAGGCACATCTCCAAGACCAGACAGAGTGCCACACACATTGTGTGCGGCTCTGGCTGATGAATGGCCCTGCCTCAGACCCCCTCTATGCTGACACAGGGTTTTCTACTGCCAGAGTTAGAGCTACTTTTTAGGCAAGCTGTCCGAGATGAACCCCCTAGAATCTCCAAGGGAAGAATCAAGAGACATCCAGCAAAGGCCCGTTCATGAACTGCTCAGGGACTTCCAGGACCTAGTCTCCCAGAAGAGCACCCACTGGGGGCTGGTGGACATGAAACCCCACATGGCCACACCATTAAGCACCACAAGAGGTCACTTCCAAGGCACCACACTTATTTCTGTCCCCAAAGAAGTCCTAGGCAGGGGAATTACCAGCTTCATAGAAAGGTAATAGGAGCCCCGTGAATGTCCCTCATGGGACTTCCCAACCAAAAGTTCCGTGTCTCAGTCCCCCAGCCCAGAGGAGCAGGACCACCTTTGTTGGAGTCCTATAGTGAAGCAGAGAAAGGAAAACCAGAGGGGACCATGCCTGGTTCAGCACTGACTGTTCGATCACCAGCTGGCCCGGATTCTGCCCTTCAGGTGCCAGAAGCATGGGTATTCTGAGCTTGTCCTTTACCGCACCTGGGCTGGGGTGTGTGCTACCCCTTAATACGGCAACTCCAGAGAGGTCTGCAGGGGAGTCTCACTGCTGTGTTAACCCAGGGAAAACACCCTTAGGACACGCCTGGGTTATCCTACATGCCTTCTGGGACATTCCTGTGTCAGCTCAAAGTCACTCTGAGGTCACTCTTGTCCGTAA